TGATCTTTACATTGTGTGTAAATTTAATGAAGATTGGATGAATAGAAACGGCCCAAAATGACTTGGAAAAAAGTCTGGTTCCATTGACTTACATTAGAAGTATAGTATGTTTTTTCCTTCTCCTGTAAAGTTACCATTTTGGAAATATCAGGTTTTCTTCCAACAACAGTGATTACACACACACACACACACACACACACACATATATATATATATATGTTCTCCCCGTGTCTGCATGGGTTTCCTCCGGGTGCTCCGGTTTCCTCCCACAGTCCAAAAACATGCAGTCCGGCCAATTGGACATGCTGAATTGCCCCTAGGTGTGTGTATGAATGTGTCTGTCTGTCTGTCTGCCCTGTGATGGACTGGCGACCTGTCCAGGGTGTATCCTGCCTTCCACCCAATGACAGCTGGGATAGGCTCCAGCACCCACCGCGACCCAGAAGGATAAGCGGTTTAGATGATGTATGTATGTATGTATGTATGTATGTATATGCACACACACTCACACACGTGTACACTGACCAGCCACTTCATTAAGTCCACCTCCTTGTTTCTACACTCACTGCTGTCCAATTTATCAGCTGCACTGACTACATAGTTTCACTCTGTAGTTCTACGGTTACAGATTGTAGCCCATCTGTTTGTCTGCATAGTTGTACGCCCCCTTTCACTAAGGTGAGCGGCTCAGCGGTCAATATATCATTAAAATATAGTGTTTTTATCTATGAAATAAAAACGGGGGGCAGTTCCAGTTTCCTGTATGTTGTCCATGATAACTGCTGTACTGTAATGAACTCTGGTGAAGGCCGACTGATCAAACTAAGAACTAACTAACTTTGTGTCAGAAAAACATACATTAGCTACTATGGTGAGTGAAGCCAATAGGCCAATATCCAGACCCTAAACACCCCCCTGGGCAGCTCCAGTTCTGGACAGACAGAGTCGCTGCTATCAGCATAAGCCATATGTCTTATATGGAGGCTGAAAAAGTGATTTTAAAAATTTTAAAAATGAGTGATTTTAAAAATGATGCACTATTTGTGGATCTCATGGTGCTACATTGAGGGTAAACTGTCTGTCTGTACAAATCAGAGCCCACCGATCAGCTGGTAGAGCGATTCAGTCCCGTAACTCCACCCTGCTTTAACCCCGGGTCACCTTGTGTCCTGAAAAGACGTTTGTGGTGATGTTGTGGACTCACCTGACACTGGTTACCTTCTGGTGGAGTTTTACACAGCAGTGTTCTCTAAAACTAGGCAAGTGGGTGGTAGAAGCGGTCAGTAGAGAGCAGCAGCAGCGCCATCTGCTGGACAAAACAAGAACAATGCGAGATGTCTGCCTGTCTGCTCTGCTGCAGGTCTTTCTTAGGACTTTCTGCTGTGTTTTTAATTCACAGTTAAAAAGGGGGGCAGACCACCGAAACAGGGACTGTCCCTAGAAAACGAGTACATCTGCCTGTTCTTCAGTGGTCAGGACCCCCATGGACCCTCACAGTGCAGGTACTATTTGGGTGGTGGATCATTCTCAGCACTGCAGTAACACTGACGTGGTGGTGGTGTGTTAGTGTGTGTTGCGCTGGTACGAGTGGATCAGACACAGCAATGCTGCTGGAGTTTTTTAACACTGTGTCCACTCACTGTCCACTCTATCAGACACTCCTACCTTGTCAGTCCACCTTGTAGATGTAAAGTCAGAGACGATAGCTCATCTGCTGCTACACAGTGTGTTGGTCATCCTCTAGTCCTTCATCAGTGGTCACAGGACGCTGCCCACAGGACGCTGTTGGCTGGATATTTTTGGTTGGTGGACTACTCTCAGTCCAGCAGTGACACTGAGGTGTTTAAAAACTCCAGCAGCACTGCTGTGTCTGATCCACTCAGACCAGCGCAACACACACTAACACACCACCACCACGTCAGTGTTACTGCAGTGCTGAGAGTGACCCACCATCCAAATAGTACCTGCTCTGCGACCGTGTCCACATACTTTTGGCCATATAATGCCTGTATTTCTGTGTATATAGATGTGGTTTATACAACGAGGAACTTTTCATAAGTGAGTTTTATGGATATGAAACTAACCTACATGTGTGCAGTTATGGTAAAGAGGTTTGGGCTTCATCACTGGCCATACTTAAATCTGATACTGACATCTAGTGGTAAAAACAAAGAATATGTTTTTAAAAACAGCTTGAAGGATTCTGGAGGTCTCATTAAGAGAACTGAGGCATTTTTCATGTTTTTTTTAAAGGAATTTTTTTTGTAGACTTGCTGCAGTTTCCAAATATAAAAGATAAAAGAAAGTGAGGGACTGAGATATTGTTTCCAATAGTTTTAAGAAGATTTTGGCTTAAAACATAGTAAATAAAATGTCTATATTGGTGTTGTAGTCGTGGCGACCCCTGGTTCCTATCACCAGCACTGTAAAGACATCTGAACCATTTCTCACCAAATGGGGGGCCCAACAATCAAGATTAAAACAGTAAACTAACACTATATAGCCAAAAGTATGTGGACATATGACCATCATACCTACAAGAGCTTGCTGGACGTCCCATTCCAAACCCAAGGACATTAATATGGAGTTGCCCCACTTGCTGGCTGTAACAGCTTCCACTCTTCTGTGAAACTCTACACAAGATTTTGAAATGTCTGAGGGAATTTGTATCCATTCAGTTGAAGAGCATTTGGGGGATTAGAGGTGTTCAGTGGGGTTGAGGTCAGGGCTCTGTGAGGGTCACTGGAGCTCCTCCACACCAAACTTGGTCATGCTGGAACAGGAAAGGCTCTTCCCCAAACTGCTGACACAAAGCTGGAAGCAGATAACTGTGTAAAATGTCTTTGTGCTGCAGCATCAACATCACCCTTCACTGGAACTGAGGGGCCCAAACCCTGAGAAACAGCCCCGCCCATCATCCCTCCTCCACCAAACTGTACTGTTGGCTCTGCATTCTGGTAGGTAACGTTCTCCAGGCATCCACCAAACCCAGATTCATCCATCAGACCAGATAGTGAAGTGTGATTCATCACTCCAGAGAACACGGTTCCACTGCTCCAGAGTCCAGTGGCGGCGCTTTACACCCCTCCAGCCGACACTTGGCATTGCACATAGTGATCTTAGGCTTGAGTGCAGCTGCTCAGCCATGGAGACCCATTTCATGAAGCTCCCGATGTTCAGTTCTTGAGTGATGCAACAGACGATAGAGCATGTTTACACTCACTGGGCCTATGTTTAATTTATACACCTGTAAGCAAGGGGTGTGGAAGAAACACCTGAACTCAATTAGGAGGGGTCAGGGGTGGGCGATATGGCAAAAATATTATAGCAGGATGCTTCATGACATTTTCATGATACACAATTTGCATCATATTTAGATTTTCTGAGATTTAATATGTTGAAACAGTAAAAATAGAGCCTGCATTGCCACATTTAAAAATCCTAAAATAATAACAATAAACCTAAAATTGAAGATTTTTCTTCAGTGTTTTACAAACTGCACTGCTGTAAATCCAGTTAAACAGGCCTAATTGTGCTCATTTTGTAAACACGCAGTTGATCAGTGTTCTTTAAGTACTCAGTGTCCATGATGTGCTCAGAAAAGTGTTTAAAGCAATTATCACAATAATGATAAAATATCGTTATATTGTCCATCCTACGATGTGTGTCCACATACTACTGGTCATATAGTATATGTTACTGACTTTTGTCCCGTGATTATAGTGGGGCAGTGTAGTTCAGCTTGGCGTATGACCAATCAGTGCTAACTGATATAAAAATATATCTTCTGCCATCTGGAAAGAGGTACTGCAGCATTCGGGCCCTCAAAGCCAGACTGGACAAGGCATCAGATTCCTCAACTCCCACGGACTGAACTGACGGACACCCACACGGACCCACACACACACACACATACATAACACCCACACGGACCCACACACACACACACATACATAACACCCACACGGACCCACACACACACACACATACATAACACCCACACGGACCCACACACACATACATAACACCCACACGGACCCACACACACACACACCAATCAGGCATAATTTTATGACCACCTCCTTGTTTCTACACTCTCACTGTCCATTTTATCAGCTCCACTTACTATATAGGTGCACTTTGTAGTTCTACAGTTACAGACTGTAGTCCATCTGTTTCTCTGATACTTTGTTAGCCACCTCAGTGTCACTGCTGGACTGAGAATAGTCCACCAACCAAAAATATCCAGCCAACAGCGTCCTGTGGGCAGCGTCCTGTGACCACTGATGAAGGACTAGAGGATGACCAACACAAACTGTGCAGCAGCAGATGAGCTATCGTCTCTGACTTTACATCTACAAGGTGGACTGACAAGGTAGGAGTGTCTAATAGAGTGGACAGTGAGTGGACACAGTGTTTAAAAACTCCAGCAGCACTGCTGTGTCTGATCCACTCGCACCAGCACAACACACACTAACACACCACCACCACGTCAGTGTTACTGCAGTGCTGAGAATGATCCACCACCCAAATAGTACCTGCTCTGTGAGGGTCCATGGGGGTCCTGACCACTGAAGAACAGGGTAAAAGGGGGCTAACAAAGTATCAGAGAAACAGATGGACTACAGTCTGTAACTGTAGAACTACAAAGTGCACCTATATAGTAAGTGGAGCTGATAAAATGGACAATGAGCATAGAAACAAGGAGGTGGTCATAATGTTATGCCTGATCGATGTATTTCATAGTATGTTGCATCCTGCTTTGCACAACTCCACACACTCTCAGTACTGTGTACTGCCTGTGTTCTGTTTTGTATTTATTGCACTGCATTGTCTGCACTCTATTGTGTATATTGTATTGTTTTGGTCCTGGACGACTGTTGTTTACTTTCACTGTGTACTTGAATATACAGCTGAAATAACAATAAAGCCTCTTGAACTTGAAACTCTGCAAAATACTGAAGTTTACAATGTTCTCTGTGGAAGAAACCAAACGCAAATCAATTAAAACGTTTTATTAAGTTATCCAATTAAAAGCATTTGCTAGAAGTCACTGTGTTTTCTCCAGCACAACGCACCAGTTCCCCTGATCGTGATAGCTCTCCCGCACCTTCACGCTCTTCACTAAACAGCACACCTCCTCCAGCTCCCCCTGCTGGAACACGTGGTAATAACGGTGAAATACTCGGTCTTGACTGGACGTGGCTGCTGCTCTGTCTTCACTCCCACAGGCGGCTTCAACACCACCGTTCTTTCCACTTTTAAGGTGCCACGGAACCAGCAGGTCCTGAGAGGCGAACGCTGTGCGGTTGGTGTGGATGCTCAGCTTGGTTTGACTCACTTTCTCAGCAGGCTGTTCTTCCAAACCAGAGACATTACAGTCTCTGTTCTCCTGTACAGGTTTCCTCTCCTCTGTTCTAGAGCCCTCTTCCGTGTTCTCCTCGTTCTTGTTAGTCTTCAGGTATTTGGATTTCTGTTTGTTGTACTCCTGCTCTTTGGCCCATACGTAGATCAGCGCTCGACCCCCGACCTTCAGCAGCCGCACCAGCTCTTCAACAGCCGCCAGTCTTCGCTCCTAAAAATACAAACCACCCTCTCATTCACACGTTCTCCATCAGACTGACCGATCAATGAAATAATGAAGAGGTTAAGATGTAAACAGAGTCATTTAGAGTGGTTTGGTGTGAAACGCTCTGTTCTAGAGAAACTTACAGAGTCAGAACTGTTCACAGTGGTGGTGATAGGAACCAGACGTCCACCTCTAAAAGCTCCCTCACAGAAAGTTCCTACATGAAATGGTTATGAATTCACTGCCTGATGACTGAGACACTGTTTTATGATAGTTTAGAGAACTTAAACTCCATTCATGGTGGAGGGATACATGCAGGGCGCTGTGAGGCAAAATAGTCCCCAAAGAAAACTTATTATTTCAGATTTTCCACTTTTTTCATCATCAACATTCCATATAAACTCAGAAGACTCGTGTAGGTTCACTGGTGGTTCTGGATAGTAAATAAAATGTCTATATTTGTGTTGTAGTCATGGCGACCCCTGGTTCCTATCACCACCACTGTACAGACATCTGAACCATTTCACACCAAACCACTCTGAATCCCCCTGTATACACCTCACACACTGAATTATGGGGGACTTTTTTTTAATAACTGCCATTCCCCCTTTTATCAGCAGCCTTCTTAATATAGCTCTCAAGTACAATCTTTAAAAAGATGGTTCTTCTAGGGTTCTTTAGTAAAGAAAATGGTTCTGTATAGAACCATGAACACTTAGAAACCTTTGCTTGACTAAAGGGCTCTTTGCATTATGAAACCGTTCTTCAGATTGATGGAGGATGTGCCATAGACGTTCTATATAGAACCTTTTTAAAAAAAATGGTTCTAAAGCACCCAACAGGATTGACGTTGTAACAACAGAAGAACCCTTTTTGGTGCTATATAGAATCCTTTTCAAAAAGACTCTAAACAGAACCATCTACAGCACATTGTCCATCAATCTGAAGAACCATTTGCAAAGAATGATGTAAAGAACGCTTTAATCATGCAAAGTGTTCTTAGGTGTTCATGGTTCTATACAGAACCATATTCTTTACTAAAGAACCCTTGAAGAACTATCTTCATTAAGAGTGTAGGCTCACTTCCAAAGACATTGAAGCTCAACACATTTGCCTGTAAGCAGGTTCTGTGGGAAGCTATTCAGCGCCATCATGTGGCCAAATGATAAAATGGAAATATTAAGAGACACTTACACAGTTCAGCCCAACTGATATTAAGTTTGAGGCCGATGTTCATTTTAAAGGGCCAAAAATTCCAATAAACAATAATAAATGATGTGATGTTATATTCACGTTTTGTATTTTAATTTTATATTCAAACAGCTGTAGTTAAACTGCTGCACTGACTGATATGATTGTTAATTCTCAGTGCTCACATTCATAAACATAAATACACAGCAGAAACTCAGTGTTAAAGCCACACTGAATTCTCTGCAGCTCTGGTTTAAGTAGTTATTTTCCTTAGTTGTCCTCAGTTCTACTTATTTTAGTTTTATAACGTTATTGTCGCGCTTTATATTTCAACCATTCAGCACTTTTGTTCATGAACTGACAATTTCTGACACATTATTTAATCATTTAATCACACTGAGTGCCTCTCATACTCATCATTACCGTTATTTAATTCATTTAGTCTGATGCGTCTCTCATCTCTCATATACTCAATACCACTGAGTGTGTTTACATGCTCTGAATAATCTGATAACTGCAGAAAATCAGATTGTGTCAGTAACTGGTTCAGTGTGTTTTCATGCACTTGAGTAATCAGATAATGGGGAAATTCTGGGTCTACATGAGTCAGACAGTAATCAGATTTCTTCTTTACAACCAGCCAATAAACTCACAGAAGAAGACGAGACATAAACGTAATGTAAAACTCAAACATCATGAAGCGGCTTTTTTTAAAAACATTCCATCACTTTACCTGAAAAAATATGAACAAACATCATGAAGATGAAGAATATTTAAATCCTTCATTTCGTCAAGCGTGTATTTGGTTTCAGTGTCACTCCAAAAGTGTTTTGCTGCGTCTCGTGGCGACGCTGCTCGCTTATTTCTGGTACCGCCGTCTGTTTTCGCACATATTCACTGAGAAATCCGCAAGAAATCAGAGCAAGAGTTCACATGCACTGAGAAATCTGATTACTGAGCTACAATCCAGCCTCTTTATCAGATTTCTTAAACAGATTTCTAGATCGGATTATGGTGTTTACATGACCATATAAATAATCAGATAACTGCAGAAATCCGATTATGATCTGATTATTATTGCATGTAAACTCACTCATTTTTACGTAATTCTTTACTTTATTAGACCAACAGAGGGTTTATTGAGTATATTTAGGAAAAGGAGAAGAAGTTGTGGATCTGATTTTCCACCAAATTCTGAGCTGTAGTGTTTCTGTCTGAGCAGAGCAGCACCTTTGTGGAGAAGTGGTGGATGACGGCGATGGAGATGCAGGCGTCAAAGCTGGAGCTCCGGAGTGGAACGTTAAGGGCGTCAGACACAAACGCCTGGAACCCACGCTCGGCACAGATCCCCACCAGATTCACACTGCGGTCACAGCCCACCTACACACCACACACAGTGAGACCGACACAGAGACCAATACAGTGACCAGTGAGCTTTAAAAAGTGCATTTGTTCCTAAATAAACTACTCATCTATGGAAACCAAGCAGTGCAGAGTCTCTGTGCACATTCATTCAAATGGTATTTCCCTGCACTTCTATGAATCTATAAATCATAACTTTCACATAGGCTTTACATATATATATGTGTGTGTGTGTGTGTGTGTGTGTGTGTGTGTATAAACGTGTGTTTGTTCTTACCGTTACAATCTGAGGGTTGATGCCGAGGTATTTTCCGTTTCCACAGCCGATGTCTGCCAGCGTGTCTCCCGGCCGCAGAGAGAGCAGGAAGTCTCGGACTCTCGGCCAGGGGGCGTGACGCGTGCTGCTGAAGTGGGTGGAGATTTCCTCATAGACATGGTGAACATACTGCGCCTCCAAACGACACGCATCGCTATCGGCAACCGGAAGAGAGGGAGGGGAGGGGGGGCGCTGACTATCGCACATGGAGGGGTACGCTGAAAAACATACACACACACACATTTGGACCACTGAATCTCATCTAGTTTGGCTGGGTGGGCTGCCAGGTCTAGATTACTGTAGATCGTTTTTTGAATGGAAAAAAAAAATACACCAATCAGGCATAACATTCTGACCACCTCCTTGTTTCTACACTCATTGTCCATTTTATCAGCTCCACTTACTATATAGGTGCACTTTGTAGTTCTACAGTTACAGACTGTAGTCCATCTGTTTCTCTGATACTTTGTTAGCCCCTTTTACCCTGTTCTTCAGTGGTCAGGACCCCCATGGACCCTCACAGAGCAGGTACTATTTGGGTGGTGGGTCATTCTCAGCACTGCAGTAACACTGACATGGTGGTGGTGTGTTAGTGTGTGTTGCGCTGGTCTGAGTGGATCAGACACAGCAGTGCTGCTGGAGTTTTTAAACACCTCAGTGTCGCTGCTGGACTGAGAATAGTCCACCATCCAAAAATATACAGCCAACAGCGTCCTGTGACCACTGATGAAGGAATAGAGGATGACCAACACACACTGTGCAGCAGCAGATGAGCTATCGTCTCTGACTTTACATCTACAAGGTGGACTGACAAGGTAGGAGAGTCTAATAGAGTGGACAGTGAGTGGGCACAGTGTTTAATATACACACAGTGCTTTTCAGGATATCAACAAAGTTTTAAAACATTTCTGTGCATGTTTTACCGCAGTCGCAGGGTGTGTGTCGGATTTTGCGGAAGGTAAACGATGTCCTCATCCCCCGGCGGCTCAGGGTCAGGTTGCTGGGGTCAGAGGTTACAACTCCTGACCCCTCGGCCTCTGAAGCAGGAACCACATCAAACTTCCGAGGCGTTATACTGACACACACAAACACACATCATTCTAATGATCGTTCTAGTTACTGCAGTACAGCGGGACGAACGCCGTACTAAAGAGCCAATCATGGAAAAACGTTTCTTCGATTTGCTGAAATGAGTTTGCTGTAGTTGTAAATATAAACATTTCAAAATGTATCAGTTCCTTTATGGAAACTAAGCTGCAAAAAGAGCTTATTTTCATTATTTCTGTGCTGTCCTAAAACAAATATCTGCCTATTCCTATCCTACAATGTTTTAGCCCTGCCCACTTACACTGGACTGCTTCTTGAATGGAACACACACACACACACACACACACACACACACACACACACACACATATACACATGAAGTTCTAGGCTATAATTTCACGTTGCTCACCCGTGAGTCCAGAGGTAGCGGCTCTCTCCCTTCATCACCAGGAGACTCCGACTCGGCAACACCACGGCAACCGAGCGCCCATCTGGGTGGCGGAAATCCATTACAGTCTAAACAGAGAGCAAATAGAAATAATTAATTATTATACTGTATTTTAGATTGTTTTCGTTGAGCTGCCTGTACAGTAATAACATAGTTAATCCAGTTTATACGTCTTTTATCTTCTGTAAATAAACACTGCGCTCATCACACCATTCACATGAAGATACATCCACAAATATTATCTTCATAGCCAAGTACAGCTTTGAGAGATTTGTGCTTCTGGGTATCTTCAAGTGAACCATTTCTAACAAAGTAATCTACTTTCAGTTCAGCGAATAGTGAATAAAGGAGTTAATCTGTACGAATAATGATTTCTTATTTGTCAGTTTCTTCCAATTTTCCATTCCACCTTAAATGGTGCAGCTGTTACAGTCTGGTGCATTCTGTTACATATAACAGCTACACCACCTAAGACGAAACGAAAAATTTGAACGAGAAGCCAATTTCTGCCCTGTTGCTGCCTGTACTAAGAAGTTCTACTGCAGTTCTACACACTTCTAAAAAAATGTAATTCTACTCAAAATGCTCTCTGGAAGGCAACTTTTACTTTTAGTTCAGTCTTTATTTTACTACAGTAACATCACTTTTAGTGAAAGGCAGGTCTGAGCCACTCCTAAGTCCCTGAATATTCCTAATTATTTTGATAATTACACTTTTGAGCAGAATCTGTTACGTTTACTGACTTTACAGCATTAAATCTAATGTCCATCAGACCTTTGCACCCAGACTGAGCGAGAGGATGGTGTCTTCAAACGGCGAGTGAGTGTCCACATGGGGCGGGATTCCTAAAACAAACAATAAACGACCGTCATTTATCTGCACCACTTAGAGTCTGTTTAAAGACTTCTTGGCTGAACCATTTTCAGTAATGCATTTTGGACTTTTTAAAAGGCTTGCGTTGTTTGTTCTAGTTCAGCTTACCGAGTTTTCCAAAATCTTTACATATTTCAGTGGTTGAGATGTGAACAGTCATTCAGAGTGGTCTGATGTGAAATGATTCACTGTACAGAGAAATTTAACTGTGAAAAAACAGATTCCACACATAGAAGTTTTGTATTTTATGTTAATTTTGTGAAATGTACACAATTCAGAGCCATGAGCACTCTAGTGGTGTTTTTTTGGATCACTTAAAGGGAGGAAACCCACACCAGCAGGAGCTCGTAAATGTCTATACAGTACTGTGCAAAAGCTGTTTATCTGTTGTAGTAAGCATTTATTTGTTAAAAAAAATAATATTAAAATAAATACAAATAACATTGATATATATAAAAGTAACAAATAACATAAAAGTGAAAATTGCATGTGTGCCAACGCACATACCTCGAGGAAGCCCAGTATTAGCATTATTTTTAGTTACTATTCAATACCTGGTTTATCTAATCAACATTTCATTATGTTAAATCAGGTGCTGCTGACGGAAGTGAATAAATTCATGCCCAGAAGAATCTTCAATTTCAACAATTTTATCTATATTAATTCTAAGGATGTGGGTTGTTTTTTTATTGTCAAAAAGTGGATTCCTCAGATAAATGGCTTTAACCAACATGTTTAGGTGCCTTTACTTTTGCACAATACTGTTCATTTTTTGTTTAATCAGTAAAGTCTAAAAAAAGACAGAATCTTAAATCTTTGCTGGCTTTTCATTTGACAAATCAGCCCCAAACAGCTTCAGTGCACTTTGTATTACGCAAGACTCTCTGATCACAAACGTTCAGATTTACTCTGCAGTGTTTAATTATCTGATGGACGACAACTACATTAACACCACCAGACCCCTCTGAATGACTCTGTTTACATATTAATCATTTAGTTGCCAATTAATAGTTCAAATAATCTGCGTGTAAATGATCCATAGTGGCTCACCCTGTCCACTCTGGTACTGGTTGACCGTTAGCTGGTCAGGAAGAACGCTGATGTGTCCTTCAGAGAGACACTTCTGCAGCACAGCGCCACACTCTGGCGGTAAACCTGCACACAGCAGCAGGAAAAAAAGATATTATTATAACACACACTTAAAAAAGATGGTTCTACAAGGTTCTCTAGTAAAGAAAATGGTTCTATATAGCGTTAAAAAGGATTCTCCTACAGTTATCATGTCAGGCTTTTTACAACAGAAGAACCCTTTTGGGTGCTACATAGAACCATCTACAGCAATTTTCCATTTTATCAGCTCGACTTATTATACAGGTGCACTTTGTAGTTCTACAGTTACAGACTGTAGTCCATCTGTTTCTCTGCATACTTTGTTACCCTGTCCTTCAGTGGTCAGGACCCCCATGGACCCTCACAGAGCAGGTACTATTTGAGTGGACACAGTGTTTAAAAACTCCAGCAGCACTGCTGTCTGATCCACTCAGACCAGCACAACACACACTAACACACCACCACCACGTCAGTGTTACTGCAGTGCTGAGAATGATCCACCACCCAAATAGTACCTGCTCTGTGAGGGTCCATGGGGGCCTGACCTCTGAAGAACAGGGTAAAAGGGGACTAACAAAGTATCAGAGAAACAGATGGACTACAGTCTGTAACTGTAGAACTACAAAGTGCACCTATATAGTAAGTGGAGCTGATAAAATGGACAATGAGCGTAGAAACAAGGAGGTGGTCAGAATGTTATGCCTGATCGGTGTGTATATATACAAACAAAAGCAGTCCAGACTCCTTAGAAGTTCAGTGTGAGTGGGCGGGGCTAAAATGTTGGAGGCTGAATAGGCAGATATAAGTAAATGTGCTGGTTTTCGTGACCTCACAAAAACGATGACTTTAAATGACTCACTGTAATGAAAATACAGCACTGACAAATCAGATTATTAAAAAGTTCAGATCTCTGTGTTATTATAAGTGTTTTTAGCAGTTGCAGACGCAGGTTAAGGTGTTTTGGTGATCAGATCACGTTCAGATTTCACTTGACTGCGTGAAAAGCCGAGTGTAAACACCTCCAGTATGTGCTGATACTGGATCACGCAAACCACACTGGGAGGGTCAGAGATGGATATTCACTCCATTTAACACCAGTGTAAACAGAACACGTTTATCTGTATACAATTACGTGAGCGGAAACGAGTCCGCCGTCTTACCTCCAGGTAAAGGTTTGTCTTTGTCCACGTTGTTGTTATCATACCGAAACTCGTACCCATAATGCTTCACTCTCCTGTGTTTCAGTTCTTTCTGCGCTGAAATAAAAACAAGATTCAGAAACAGATGAATTAAATCTACACGTTTCAATGAACAGACGTACCAAATAATAATAAATATGATCAGATTTGAAATGTAAAATACTTTTTGGTGTACAAACGACTACAATATAATATACAGTACAATCACTTTAAAGACAAAAGACCACGCCCACTTTTTAAAAAACACTACATATCAGAAACTAATGAAGTATGGAGCATTTATGTCTATAATCACTCATATCTGACCTGTCAGCTCCTCAGTGTGGGACGTCCAGTCAACAGCCTGCAGCAGCTCAGCCTCTTCTTCCACAGATACAAACTCCTCCAACACAGAGAGACCAGGAGGAAGAGGAGAAACACCGCTGACCTCACTGTCCACTGAGAGAGAGAGAGAGAATAAAGTGAGACAGTGAGATTATATATGGGGGGTAGAGAGAGAAAGAGTGAGATGTTTAAGCAGTAGAACACAGAGGGAGTGTGTTCTCGCGAAATAACATCACGGCTGTGATTTGGTCGCCATAGATCATCACAGCCGTGATGTTATTGGCGATAACACACTCCTCAAGTGTTCTGTTGCTTTAATACAACAGTTAAATAAATAAAGTAATAAATTAATAAACCGGGCCGTGAACGCGGCGTTTAATATGGTTTAATGTTTGCAGTTCCTTCACCAAATTATAGTTCCTTAACGAGCAGCTTGTTGCTACGTCAGAGTAACGAGCTCCGCCCACTCACTGCGCAGCCGGCAGTTCGTTCTCCAGCTCCTTACACTGAATTCCCAAACTGTCATCACCACTGAGCAGCTTTTCAGTCGGCAGCTGAGACAGAAGAACAGCTGAACAACCTGGAATAAGCCAGAAATGAACCCAACACCATTCGCCAAACTAAATGGGCTGTAAGATGCTTTACAGACTGGCTGGAACAAAACAACATTAATACTGATCTGGCAAAAACTGACAAAACTGAGCTAAACTTGATATTGTGGCAGTTTTATGGCTCAGTCTGATTTGGTCAGACTCTGAAGATCAGACTACACGTTTGGCGAATGGTGTTGGGTTCATTTCTGGCTGATTCCAGGTTGTTTAGCTGTTCTTCTGTCTCAGCTGCCGACTGAAAAGCTGCTCAGTGGTGATGACAGTTTGGGAGTTTAGTGTCGTCTCATCTTCAGAGTCTGACCAAATCGGCTGTCGGTCAAAAGTGATCTTAAAAGTGTCCGTTTTCTGTTTGTGGCAAAGTAAGAAGTAAAAACATTCAAATGGCTTGAGCGTCTCCTACAGCTGTCAAAGTCGTTGCTTAGCAACGGCATCTCAGCAGAGTGATACAGTGTTTGTGATGTTATGGTGAAATAAGAGCACAATTAGAACGCTTCTCAACCAATCAGCTTGCGTGGCCGGAACTAACTGTATAACTGTATAAAATGAATTAAAAGAGTAAGGCAGTGCATGTAAAACAGTGAACGGCACAAAATGGATTAAAATGAAAAGGATTTTTTTTTAATAAAAATAAAAGGTAAGAGGACTAGAGAAAACTGAAATTGAAAACTGAAAAAAAAAATTGAAACAATAAAATTAATAAAATAAAACAAACACAAAAAATAAATACAAAAAGAAACAATGCATAAAAAGATCAACTTAAAAAATGCTAATGTTTCCAGCTTTAAAAAAGGAAAGCAAAGCAGATGCCAGACAAATACTAACAGCTCCAAATCTCTGGAGCACAGAATCAAAAAACTCCTTCACCAGCTTTTAAGCACCTATCCAGTCTTTACTCCCTTCAGCAGTCTGACCCACAAAAACTAGTACAATTTAACAGCCCTTAAAATCAGCTATAAAGGCTGTTTTGTTATGTTTACCTTTTTCAACGTAGCTGAAGTACAGCGTGACCTCCTGACCCTGACTCCTCAGCACTCGCCCGTTCAGCAGCCGGTGGGCGCTCTGACCGTCCTCCACTGACGCGTACGTGACGTAAGCGTACGGTTTATTAGGAGGCATGAGGAGAGACTCTACAGTGCCCCCTTCCTTAAGGACCTCCAGCAGCAGCTCTCTGCTCACTCCGTTCCCCAAACCTCCGTTAGACACCACCAGATTCTGCAGATACACAAACACACACGAGTCATCATGACAGTGTGGGTGAAAGTGTTTTGAGAAGTTTGGAATTAGAAATAATAACCGATTCTCCTTCAGTACTGTGATGTATTAGTGAGTGAATCACGGTTTGGGGAGGATCTCTGAGCGAGCTGAGTGTTCTGTGATGGGGGGACGGGTTGAGACGTAATGTAATGGTGTTATTTTGCCCCAGCTGCTGGTGGACAGTGACCTCATCTCATATACAATAATATCGATGATATACAATAATATCACCATTTCAAGGTAATATTTTATTATGTAATAATCGACCCCTTGCAATGAAAAACATACATATACCATAAAGCATCTGAATACATCACTAATCTTTAAAGATTACAATAGAATGACATAACGTTGAGTCTGTAGCTATTCCAGTTCCCGATGTTTGAGGGGGAATTCCACCAATTTTTCAAAATTCCCCCATAATTCATAATTTGAGATGTAAACAGAGCGATTCAGAGTGGTTTGGTGTGAAATGGTTCAGATGTCTTTACAGACACTATCTATCCAGAACCACCAGTGAACCTACATGAGTCTTCTGAGTTTATATGGAATGTTGATGATGGAAAATAGTGGAAAATCTGAAATAATAAGTTTTCTTTGGGGACTATTTTGTCTCACAGCGCCCTGCATGTATCCCTCCACCATAAATGGAGTTTAAGTTCTCTAAACTATCATAAAACAGTGTCTCAGTCATCAGGCAGTGAATTCATAACCATTTCATGTAGGAACTTTCTGTGAGGGAGCTTTTAGAGGTGGACGTCTGGTTCCTATCACCACCACTGTGAACAGTTCTGACTCAGTAAGTTTATCTAGAACAGAGCGTTTCACACCAAACCACTCTGAATGACTCTGTTTACATCTTAACCGTTTAATGATGTGTAACTTTTGAGAAATGGGTGGAGTTCCCCTTTGCTGTCAGTCTTCAGTCTGTACTGTAACATAACGGTGGTGTACCCGGCTCCGGTACCTGAGTGGGCTGCTGTGAGGTGCTGAGTCCTGCGTGTCTGAGCAGAGTCTGCTGTGTTTTTCTTTCTCTCCGCTGAACTTTCAGCTCTTTTTTACTCCTCTTCTCCCTCCTCACGTTCCCCACTGCAGCCTCCATCACGGCGCACCTCCTAACTGAGTCCCCAGCGCAGCAAGAGCTGCCACATCAGTTCCGCCACAGCGCGCCATCACTTTTCATTAATGCTATTTTTAACGGAAGCCCTGAAGCTCTGCGTATGCGGAGCCCCGCTGGTGACATCGAGTATAAATAAAAATAATGTGTGGCCACGACTTAGTAAGGCATGGGAATGAAATAATTAAGCCTTAACCACAGCTTAATAAGGCATGATCTCGTTCCCTTGCTTTACTAAGTCATGGCTACGACTTAATAAGCCGTGATCTTGTTCCCACGCCTTACTAAGTCATGGTCATGACTTAATCATCTCGTTCCCATGCCTTACTAAGTTGTGACAACGCATTATTTTAATTTTTACTCGATGTCACCAGCGGGCTGTGTGTGTTTTTCTGAGTTATTTTCATTTGTTTTCTCAGAGCCCTGCTGGTGACATCGAGTATAAATAAAAAATAATGCGTGGCCACGCCTTATTAACGCGTGGGAACGAGATCCTAATCCTTGGCCACGACTTAGTAAAGCATGGGAACGAGATCATGCCTTATTTAGCTGTGGTTAAGGCTTAATTATTTCATTTCCATGCCTTACTAAGTCGTGGCCACGCATTAGTACCTCATTTCCACATCCTTACTAAGTCATGGCAACGACTTAATTATCTCGTTCCCACACCTTACTAAGTCGTGGCCACACATTATTTTTACTTAGGGCTTCATAGTTTTCTACAGAGCCCTGCTGGTGACATCCCATGTAAAGATAATGCATGACTTAGTAAGGCATGGGAATTAAATAATTAAGTTGTGGCCACAACTTAGTAAGGCGTGGAGATCCTAATTCATGACCATGACTTAGTAAGGCGTGGGAACGAGATAATTAATTTGTGGCCACGACTTGGTAAAGCGTGGGAATGAGATCATGCCATACTAAGCAGAGGTCAAGGCTTTATTATGATTCCCATGCCTTACTAAATCGTGGCCACACACTAGGATCTCTTTCCCAAGCCTTACTAAGTCATGGCCATGACTTAATTATCTTGTTTGCTTCATTTTCATTTATATGGAATGTCATCAGCAAGGCTCCATAAAGGGTTTCTCAAAATTTTGTGATATTTACGTTATTGTGGCAGAACGAAGGCTGTTTTCTTGAGATCTTGAGTTAATTACATCATTATTATGACATAACGAAGACTGTTTTATCAAGATAACATTCGTTTTGTCATGATAATGGCATAAATAACTCGAGATCTTGACAAAAACAAATGATATTAACTCATAACTACAGAGCCCTGCTGGTGACATCCTGTATAAATTAAAATAATGTGTGGCCACGCCTTATTAAAGTGTGGGTAATGCGTGAACGAGATCACAGCTTACTAAGTCATGGCCACGCTTTAGGATCTCATTCCCACGCCTTATTGTTATTTATACAGGACGTCACCAGCGGGGCTCCGTACATAACAGAAAAAAAACAGAGTAAAAAATGACAATTCATGGCCCTTCAGGGCTTCCATAATTCTATAGTTAATATTTCTTTGATGTGTTTGAATGAGGCTGTGATTGTGCAGAGCAGATACGGAGACGCTTCAGGGCGACGCGACCCTGTTACCATAGAGTTAATGTGGGCTGTGTCCCAAATCCAGCGCTTGTACCCTACGCAGTGAATTCAGGCACTTTTAGGGCCTCTATTAATAACAATGAAGTCTTTCCCCGATATCTATCAACTCATTTTTAATTCAGGCAACAGCTGCATTATTTCTGAAGCTTGTGGATAAAATAAAATCCTAAATTTCCAAAATGTTAGCATTAGCAAAGCAGCACAGTAGTTGATCCAAAAGCTTGAAAATAGACCAAAAAAAGAATTAGGAACTAAATATGAAGAATTAAAATCAAACGTTGGGGGGATTAGAGTAATTACTCTTCTCATACATATACTTAAAAATACTCAAAATTACAAATAAATGTTCAGTTTAGCAGGTAGCACTCTGCACTGAAGGGAGCCAGTTAGCAACCACCCAAAAGATGGTTCTGCAAATGGAGAATGTGAAGTATATGGTTGTAAACAGCACCAAAAAGGGTTCTTCTATTGTATTATGTTTAATATAACAACAGAACTCTTTATAGTGCTGTATACATCCATACACAACACGTTCTCCACCAGTCTGGAACTAATAGCTAAACTATTTTAGCATGAAATACTTCTATATGGAATTCATGGTCCTAAACAGAACCATTCCCTTTACTAGAGAACCCTTGAAGAACCATCGTTCAGAGTGTACCTTACAGTAGCATGTCTTTGTTTTCCTGACTTAGTCCACCGTTTATTAGCCCTTCATGAAAGAGCAGTAATGCTAATACAGATGACGGGGCTGCTATTTGGAACCAGGCCGTAATCACTCTAGAACAGTACTGGAACGTAAAGAAAGGACACAAAACTCACACCCGCAGAACCAAATGTGTTCATTTAATAAAAAAACAGACCAACATGAAACTGTCAGTCCATACAGTCACATTACCGTCATGTCAGAACACTGACAACCACCTGTGACCAACCTACGATTTAGAAAAGCTGATTCTATATAATCAAAGAAAGCAAAGTTATGATGAAAGCAAGAAATTCACATAAAACAAATGTTTATCACCTCTCGATATACTATATTACATGATAGGATGTGGAAAAACTTTTCCAGTCAAGTTACTCGCACCTTAAAGGAACAGCACGGCCAAACACGCTAACGTGGCTAACAACGAACGGACTGTCAGCTGGTTGATGGCTGCGTAATTAACTGGCGTCCATTTGTCTTCATTTATTGTCAGCAACAGTAGCTTTGACTGAACTGTTCCTTTAAACATTGTGTTTGAACCAAACATTAACTGAGCGAATTCATCAGGAGGCGTCACGGCGGTGAAGAGCCAAACAGCACAATCTGACAGGTTAGCGAAGTAATAAAGTCTCCTGTGGGCATTAAATACAGAATTTGTCGGACATCGGAAGGAAGACAGGACACGCAGCGTAAAAACAAATTCAGCTTAAGCCACAGCAGCGGCCTCATCCTGAAGAATCTGTGTGCGCCCCCTGGTGGCCAAAGCGGGATCAGCAGTAATGGAAAGGTCCAAACAGTACAATCATAAATGTCTCTTTACTTCTTCTGCTTTGCAGGTGGCCTAAAAAGGAGAGGAAGAGAAACATTTAACAGTTAGTTTGGAAGAATTAATGGGGTAAAAATGCATGCAGTAATTCAATGACATCAGGAATTTGGGAATATTAAACAACTAATTAAAAGTGTAAATCCCACCAAAACAAGGCTGGTGTACTGTTTATATTGTGTATACTCTACTACTGTCTATACAGAGCAAAATCAGGCTGTTTGTAAATGTAAAAGCTGATATTTGGGTACAAAACACATCCGGTCAGCGCAGGAAGCAACTCATTTTAAGTAGGAGTAAATTAAATAGAACAGACTGAACTAAAATTCGGTCAATAATGGTAAAAATCTTGTGTTTGAGGCTGTAATGTAAAATGTACTTGAGTATGTTACTGGTGACAAGCTAGACTTCAGCCTGATAAACAATTTCCCTATAATCAGTTTCATAAAAGTGTTGATTATTTGAATCGCTTTACAGTTTAAATCCTCTAAGTTAGTGAACGTGATGCAGCCCTGCTCTCAAATAACTCAGTATTAGTACAAATTGATTTACACTCCCGAGTAACCGGCGATACCGACCTGTAGACGCCCACCACCACGGCGTGGTCTCTCTCGTACGGCTCCAGAGTGAGCTGCTCCTGTGGCTTCATGTTCTCTGCGCTCATCTTCTTCACCTCAGATGCGAACACGGCCTCCGGAGCCGCCGTGGAATCGATACAGTTCGCCTGGTGAGGAGAGAAAACGTTTACTCACCACTGCTGAAGTCCAGACGTCACAGACACAGCTTTAAAGGAACAGTTCACCAAAAAACTTACACACACCACATTAGAGCTGAACGATTCTGGCAAAATGTCTCATTTGGATTTTTCTGACCAATATTGTGATTTAAATTGCAAGTGTTTTCTATAAACTGATGTTTGTATTTTTTTAGCTAAGAAGACCAGCGTATGTTTTTTTGGCTAGAGGCCCTTAACGCACCAGCCTGCCAGTTCATGGTTGTGAGGTCACAGCACACGGATGTTTGGCTGCTTCTGATTCGACAAATTAATCTAAAAGCAGCTCAGAAGCTCCATGTGGTTAGAATAAACTTCCCTACTTGAACCATCTTTAAAAGTGTTATTGACAACAGACTGAAATAAAAATTGCAGCTCTTGCGATTTGAAAAATGAAGCGTTTCAAATTGTGATAATAAAACAATGAATCTATCAACTCTATCCCAGATCAGCCGAGACATGTTTGGTGTTCAAACTTTGCCTCTTTATTTTAGAGACTGGGGCTACAAGGCTACTGGCGCTAACAAACAGTAGAGGTCAATAGTCACCCAAACCTGTTCCGTAAATTGATGTGGTTTAGACTTACTGAGAGCGATAAAAATAAACTAAACTTCACGGTGTAGCTGAGCGCTGCAGGCAGACGCTCTAGAGAACAGGCGCTGTGCTGAACTCCTGCACAATCAGACGTTCACTTTCACTCAATTATGTTTGCAATTGCTGTTATTGCAATTTGTAAAACAAATGTAAACTTACAAATGTTCAAGATTAACTGCTACTTATTAAAAAAATATAAATATCAGAATTTATTGGTATTTAGCGCAACACAAGCGTGTGCCACCTTAATGAAGACCTGGGTGCAGTTAAAGCGGCTGAGGACACTTTTGGGGATGAATTTGCACAACTTGGGTGACTATTGACTTTATTGTTAGCAGTGTTAACTTTGTAGCTCCAGTAGTAAAAATAAGGATGCAAAATCTGGACACTCAGCTGATCTGGTGAACGAGAAAAACTGCATAAATCTGATTTTTCAATGAATTCTTCCCTTAACACAGAGTTACTTCCACACACACAGAAACAGAACAAGCTGAATTATAAAATAAACCTGAGCCCGTTACAGACGTCCGATTTCACCAAGACAAACTCCTCATTAATGGTGTTCTAAGTGGCTGATTTACCTTGATGGAGATGACGAAGTGGCCTCCGTTCTTGAGGAAGTTGTGCGCGTTGAGAGCGACGATTCTCGTCTGGTCTGGCTGAGCAACGTCAGCAAAAATAACATCTACCATACCTGAAAGACACAGCAGCAGAGTTGAGGATCTAAACGACAAAACTACACAGAGCTGTGACGAGAAAAAACATTCTACACTCTTAAAAAGACGGTTCTTCAAGGTTTCTTTAGTTTAAAAAAAAAGGTTCTATTTAAAACCTTTTGCATGAGTGAAGAGTTCTTTGCACTGTGAAAGGGTTCTTTAGACTGATGAGAGAAAGTGCTGTAGATGGTTCCATGTAGAACCTTTTTGAAAAGGATTCTATATAGCACCTAAAAGGGTTCTTCTGTTGTTACGAAGTCAAGCTTGACATAAGAGAAAAACCCTTTTTTTGACATAATACACAGAACCTTTTGCAAAAATATACAATAAAAAACCATCTACAGTACATTCTTCAATATCTGAAGAACCATCTCATGGTACAAAGAACACTGTAATTATGCCAAGGGTTCTTTGAGTGTTCAAGGTTCTATACATAATCATTTTCTTAACTAAAGAACCATCTTTAAGAGTGTATATTAAATGACAATGAAGTTGTAGACTGTAACCTAAAGTTTCAACAAGGTAAACTGTCCAGAAATGACAGAATAACAGTAAATATATTAATACATAATTAAGTTAATTGCCTAATTGAATAATAATCAATAGGCTGATCTATTCTGAATATAATCCTGAGCAGCCGCCGTCCTGCAGACTTACCAACCAGCATGCGGTACTTGTGTGGGTGTCTGGCGTCCTCGATGATGGGGATAATGTTGGTTCTCTTCTTGGCGACGTTCAGTAAGTCTCTCCCGGAGCGGTGAGAAAACTCCACCGCGTACACCAAACCCTCCTGGACAGATAAGATAAACAAACACTGTTACTCAGCTCTGTATCAGACACAGCTGTATTACTAGGTGGAGTAACGGGGTAAGTTGACCCACCGGCCCGACGATGTCAGACACGTGAGACACGGTCGTTCCGGACGCAGCGCCGAGGTACATGACTTTCGCTCCGGGTTTAATGTGGATCTGATCCACTCCACCCAAAATGGCAGCTGCCAGCTTCGAGCGGAACGGGTTCCACGCTCTGTACTCGATCTTCGTTTCCCCTTCCTAAAGATGACAGAAGAAACAGTCAACAGACACATCACTATTATAAACCTTCATAATCCACCAATTTTCCTACATTTCTGCGCATTTATTTTGTTAAAGTTGCACCAAAGTCATTCAGAGTGGTTTGGTGTGAAACGCTTCGTTCTAGAGAGTCAGAACTGTTCACAGTGGTGGTGATGGGAACCAGACGTCCACCTCTAAAAGCTCCTCACAGAAAGTTCCTACATGAAATGGTTATGAATTCACTGCCTGATGACTGAGACACTGTTTTATGATAGTTTAGAGAACTTAAAATCCATTCATGGTGGAGGGATACATGCAGGGCGCTGTGAGGCAAAATAGTCCCCAAAGAAAACTTATTATTTCAGATTTTCCACTATTTTCCATCATCAACATTCATATAAACCCAGAAGACTCGTGTAGGTTCACTGGTGGTTCTGGATAGTAAATAAAATGTCTATATTTGTGTTGTAGTCATGGCGACCCCTGGTTCCTATCACCACCACTGTAAAGACATCTGAACCATTTCACACCAAACCTCTCTGCCTGACCGCTTCACTGCTTTCTTGAAAGACATCTGAGATATTTGAAAATTGACATGGAAAGAATTGACTTGTAGACAATTCTTCATGCACTGCAAACTCTGCACATTTATTTTTCGTAGTTTTGAAATGAATAGTATTAAAGCGTATTACGGTTAATGAGGACTTCCTTTCACTGATCGCGTTTGTTTAAGTGTTCGTTTGCTAAAGGGAACCCTGACTGTTCAGACTTGTATGCTTTAAAATAACATGTTTAATAACATTAAAACACAACATATAAAGCAAAAGGAAATGTTTAGCCTGTTACATAACAAACCCCTCTACTGGTAGACCACCACTGTCGCACTGTGATGTCATATGGTTGCACTAAGACAATCAAACAAGTTCCTCTCTCGGGGAATATCACGTTCTAGCCAAATCTGGAAAGGCTGAAGTAGATATTTGAGTTCAATGATGTTCATCACTCAACGTACAAGACAGAGAGCAAAACAGCAACTACTAGTAGATGGATTTGTCAACTTTTACAAACAAATAAAATATTTTGCTAATATTTGGACACGAACACTTCCAACAGACGGTGCTTCAAGGAGAGAATGGTTTTATATGGAACCATGAACACTCAAAGAACCCTTCGCATGATTAAAGGGTTCTTCGCATGATAAAAGCGTGAAAGGAAAATGTCAGGTAAAGGAAAATGTGCTGTAGATGGTTCTATATAGAACCTTTTTGAAAATGGTTTTATATAGCACCAGAAAGAGTTCTTCTATTGTTACATTGCAAATTTTCCATTGATCTGAAAAACGCTTTCATCATGCAAAGGGTTCTTTGAGTGTTCATGGTTCTATATAGAACCATTTCCTCTACTAAAGAACCTTTGAAGCACCAGATTTAAGAGTGTACATCATATTGAGGCTTACATGTCTTGACAGTCCGGGTTCTTTTAGTGGTAACACTGTTTCCCGAGTACAACTGCGCTACCAGAGCACGAACAGAACCGGACTGTTCTCCTAAGAGACAAACTGACAAAACAATAACAATATCCAGTACAATCAGGCTCACCTCCACACTAATCCTCTTCTCTCCGTACACCGACTCTCCCATCACCATGTTCTTCGTCACCAGCGCGTCCTCCTTACCGCGGCAGATAAACACGCCTGAAGGGTCAAAGGTCGGCGGTCAGTGAAGCACGAGCGACTCACTGGCATTATTATTCATGCAGGCGTTAACAGCTGTTAGCCACACGCTCACCTTCGTGTCTGTGAGGTTCCACTGTGACTTTCTTTCCTCCTCTAAATCCTCCTCGTCCTCCTCCTCCTCCTCTTCCCCCACGGCCTCTGGGGGTCCCTCTGCCGCCACCGCGGCCCCTGAAGCCGCCTTCACCACCCGGAGACCTAAAACCTCCACCTGCAACAAACCAGAGAAAAATTAATAAGAGTGGCTTATGTTGCACATATTTGATTTACGCACAGGATGATGAATATTAGGCTATATAATGTCCATTTTAATCAGAGACATGAATGTTCAGCTATACTGTACTTGTTTTATTCAGTGTGATGCATGTTCAGCTATACTGTACTTGTCTTATTCAGTGTGATGAATGTTCAGCTACACTGTATTTGTTTTAAACAGTGATCAGCACTTTTCTGTGTTCTGACGATAACAAAGTACAAAATGCAAATTAAAGCTGAGTAACTGTGTCAGTGTTGAGGTTCTTCCTCACCTCCTCCTCCCCTTCCTCCTCTGAATCCTCCTCTTCCTCCTCCACGGTCACCTCCACGGCCTCGTCCTCCAAAACCTCCTCCGAAACCTCCACGGCCTCCGCCACCTCGCGGGCTGAATCCTGCAGGGGGGGAATAACTCGGTCAACAACCTGGCAACCCAATTACCAATCCATACGACACTACATCAGTAACAGTGTAATCCCAGTCACTGACACCAACAGATTAACCTTCAAAAGTTAAAAGCGGAAATAATCTTATTACCCAACATTACTTGAGTACAAAAGTTCGCTTTTGTTTGTGAATGTACAAGTTAATAAAAGTAAACATTCTTTGAGTTACTCTAAATCTCTGTATAATACCTTTTAGATGAATGGGTTCTTCTGAAATACGGAGGCGGAGAAAAAAATACAAAATAAAAGACTTCTGTATTTGAGCAAAACTATAGACACTCTTGGTATAATATTACTTGAGTAAATGTACTAGATTTCTACATGAATACTCCTCTACAGTATTCTCCACAAAGTACTACGTTTAAAGTACTTCTGAGCTACTGTAGATCTTGCATAACATTTTTAATAAGGTGATTAAGCTGCTTGAGTTTGAGAACTGAGAATAATCACTTTTACAATTATACAAAAACTAAAGTACCGTTACTTTTGATATTTACAATCACAGGCAAGTAATTTAACAAATGTATTTAGACTTTTACTCAAGTATATAAGTATTTTATTTTGTACTTTTTTCTTTCATCAGTGCTGAATATTCAGTTGCACTTAACAGAACTTGTTCATGAAAATAATAGATACCAACACTAAAGTCAGCTGAGAGTACTCAATCATGCGCAACTACACAATATTTATAATAACTAAAGTACTGTTACTTTTGATCCTTTGGTACAATCAAACAAGTATTACTGCTCTTTTACTCAGGGAGAAAGAGAAATAGAGTACTGGAGTAATGTTTTCCCAATACTATTTCTATATGTACTTAAATACAAATGTACTGTACTTTAAAATCATTGCAAATGAATGGAGGCAACAGAGAAACACTGAAGCTGCTGTTATGGTGGTGAATGGAGTTTAGCACATGTGGCCCACAGCGTGGAGACTTACAGACCCTCAGAGTGGACACAGAAACAAACACAACCAGCTCAGGGCTAAATTAACCCCACATTTAACTACTAAACTCAGCTAGAAGCGCTTAGACTAAGAAATTAAACGCCTTTTAGGATTAAATACAGCGGTTAATGTTGCTGCCACTCCAGCTGCGCCCACATGGCATAAAGAGCGCTGCACTATAAGGATCTGCGCCTCTAACTGAACCCACTTAAATATGATTTAAAGACGATTTCAACGACCTAACATGTTTCCCATCCTTTAAACGCCCCGTTAAAGTCTTTTAAAATAACTTAAAAGCGGGTTCGCATTAGCTGCAGCGCTAACTCGGCTAAGATGACCCATTTAAATCCACAGTCCAGGCTTTTCTTTCACTCCAGGCTGAATGTAAACACGTGTGAGTGTAAACAGATACTCACCGGGCTTCATCTTCACTCTGGATCTGTATTAAACTGTGTTTATTAGAGATTAATCTGCGCTTTTCCTGCAGCCGCTCCGCCGCAACGCCACCGGATTCAGTTCAGCGCTGCCACCACGTGTGAAACACGGACCTTTTCCCAGCGTGCACCGCGCTCTGTAGGGTTTCACGCCGCCCACTAGCGGTGGCTGAGCGCAGGTGCCCGTCTAATCCGCACGCGCGCTCCCTTCGTAGGGCACTTAGAAGGGAGCACCCTCGCCGCGGCCATTTTGTAGCGTCATTCCGAGGTGAAGTGCTTGAAAACAGTCGTAACTGACTAATGGGGTCCCCATTTTTGGACACTTTTACTCTAAAAATGCTTTTTAATAGATTAAATATGTTTAAATATTTAAATGTAAGATGTAAAATGCAAATTTTGGATGTCTTTTAATGTCTAACCAGGGGGCAAATGATGAAAATTAGCCTCTTTTACAGCTCTGTTGATATGGTTTATTAATGGGAACTGCAAATAAATAAATAAAATTAATGTACACTCATGAATTTATACTGTAAAAATATTTATCCTGTACCAGTTGTATGAAAAGCGTAAGTATCTTACATTGCAATGCTATTACACATTATAATAGTTTTACAGTATTCCTATTATAAATATATGCAACACAAATTAAGGTGCTAAACATATTTAATTGTGCCAGTTTTGGAATAATTTAATATATGCCCCTATATGCACATACACTATAGAGAGAAAAATATTGGGACACATCTCTTATTTATTAGGGGTTTCAGCCACACACACTGCTAACAGGTGGATTAAATTAAGCACTTAGTCTTGCAGTCTCGATAGATAAACACTCGCAGTAGAGGGTCGTACTGAACAGCTCAGTGACTTTAAACATGCCACAAGTCTGTTTATGAAATTTCTGTCCTGCTAGATCTGCCCTAGACAACTGTAAGTGCTATTAATGTGAAATGGAAGCGTCTAGGAGCAACAACAGCTCAGCCATGAAGCGGTAGACCACGCAAACGTCCACGCTGTCCACAAATTAAAACTCTAAAACGCAGAAGAGGAAATCATATATAAACAGGATCCAGAAATGCTGCCACCTTCTCTGGGCCTGAGCTCATTTAAAATGGACTGTTGGGAAATGGAAAAATGTCCTGTGGTCCAATGAATCAACATTTGAAATCCTTTTTGGAAATCATGGACACTGTGTCCTCTGGGCTAAAGACCACTCAGCTTGTTATCGGTGCACAGTTCAAAAGCCAGTATTCATGATGGTATAGGGGGCATTAGTGCACATGGCATGGGTGATGTGCACATCTGTGAAGGCACCATTAATGCTGAACGATATATACATGTTTTGGAAACATATGCTGCCATCCAGACGACGTCTTTTTCAGGGCCTTGATTATTTCAGCAAGACAATGCAAAACCACATTCTGCATGTATTACAGCAGCATTGCTCCGTATTAAAAGAGTCCAGGAGCTAAACTGACCTGCCTGTAGTCCAGACCTGTCACCACTGATTTGGTGCATTATGAAATAAAAAAAAAAACAAAGAAGACCCTGAACTGTTGAGCAGCTGAAATCCTGTATCAAACAAGAACAGCAAAACATTTCACTTTCTAAACTACAGCAGTGTCTCCTCAGTTCCCAAACACCTACAGGGTGCTGTTAAAGAAGAGGTGATGAAACACAGTGGTAAACAGGCCCCCGTCCCAACTTCTTTGGAACGTCTTATTGGCATCAAATTCAAAATGGGCAAATATTTTTCAAAAAACAAAAAAATTCTCAGTTTCAACATTTGATATGTTGTCTTTGTAGTATTTTTCTTTCAAAATATGGTTTACATGATTTGCACATCATTGCATTCTATTTTTATTTACATTCTGCACAACTTCCCAACTTTTTTGGAAATGGGCTTATACATATATATATTACAAACTTGATATATATATATACATATATATATATGTATATATATATATTGAAATATATGTGGCAATATAGTTCTTTGCATGAGTTAACACAAAATACACTTGCATAATACATAAAGATTTACTTTTTCAATGCTCAGTGTATATTTGTGTTTTTTTACATTTAATATACACTACATCAATTGGAACAGTGAAATATGACTGTTTTTAATAATACAATAGTACATAAATCCACTAAATAGACTCAATATGAAATGAAATGAAGAACCAACTGTAAACAAAAAGAGTTCTTTTTTAATGTAAATGTATCCACAACGTGTCAGAATGACCATCAGTACTTCTGAACGAGACTCTGAGAGCAGGTCCAGCTGGAAAAGACAGTGTCCTGAGTGATTGCGTAATTCCCAGAAGGTTGCTAGGATGTTGCTAGATGGATGTCATGGTGTTCCTGGTGGTCACTGTGTTGCTAGGTCATTGCTATGGTACCCAAGGTGGTTGCTAGGGTGTTCCCAGGTGGTTGCTATGGTATTCCAGGTGGTTGCTCAGTGGTTGTAGACATACACACATAGATGCCGCATTGGCCGCTGGACCATGCGTCAAAGTCGCCACCATATTGGTCTGGGCAGCTTGTCATAACTCTCAGAAGGTTGCTAGGGTGTTGCTAGGTGTTTGTTATGTGATCTCTGATGGTTGCTAGGGTGTTGCTTTTAGTTTGCTATGCGATCTCTGGTGGTTGCTAGGGTGTTGCTAGGTGCTTGCTATGAGATCTCTGGCTGTTGCTAGGGTGTTGCTAGGTGTTTGCTATTTTGTCTCTGGTGGTTGCTAGGATGTTGCTAGATGATTGCTATGGGATCTCTGGTGGTTGCAAGGGTGTTCCTAGGTGTTTGCTATGGGATGTCTGGCAGTTGCTAGGGTGTTGCTAGGTGCTTGCTATGGGATCTTTGGTGGTTGCAAGGGTGTTGCTAGGTGTTTGCTATGGGATCTCTGGCGGTTACTAGGGTGTTGCTAGGTGTTTGCTATGGGGTCTCTGGTGGTTGCTAGGATGTTGCTAGGTGATTGCTATGGGATCTTTGTCGGTTGCAAGGGTGTTGCTAGGTGTTTGCTATGGGATCTTTGGTGGCAGCTGCAAGGGTGTTGCTAGGTGTTTGCTATGGGGTCTCTGGTGGTTGCTAGGGTGTTGCTAGGTGATTGCTATGGGATCTCTGGCAGTTGCAAGTGTTGCTAGGTATTTGTAATGGGATGTCTGGCGGTTGCAAGGGTGTTGCTAAGTGTTTGCTCTGGGATCTCTGGCAGATTGGTAGGGTGTTGCTAAGTGTTTGCTATGGGATCTCTGGCAGTTGCTAGGGTGTTGCTAAGTGTTTGCTATGGGATCTCTGGTGGTTGCTAGGGTGTTGCTAAGTGTTTGCTATGGGATCTCTGGCGGATTGGTAGGGTGTTGCTAGGTGATTGCTATGGGATCTCTGGCGGTTGCTAGGGTGTTGCTAAGTGTTTGCTATGGGATATCTGGTGGTTGCTAGGGTGTTACTAGGTGCTTGCTATAGGATATCTGGTGGTTGCTAGGTGTTTGCTAGCTGATTCAATTATATAATGATACCCTAGCTAGCTGCTTGGGAGTTGCTCGGTGAGTGTAGTGGTGTTCCAGGTGGTTACTATTTCATCCCACATGGTTAACAGGATGATGTAATATAAGTGAGATTTACATTCTTTTCCCCACAGAGGTTCATCATTCATTTCTATGGGGAAAAAAATCATAATTTAGTGATTGTATTTTTTCATTGCATGAAAACTGCATGTCTGATCAAAAAGCTGTATACAAGCACACTATTCCTGATCAGACTGAACGTTCCATAGTTGCAATCTTCAAAACTGCGGGATGAGTTAGTGGACAGAAATCTGGCAGATAAATAATAATAATAGGAGGAAGAATATATTGTTGGATAACACTAAACACAGCAGTGTTTATAGTGTGTATTTATTATTTACAGCACATTTCAGTTTCCCCGCTTGAACACAGGTGGTTAGACTGATGGCTGTCAGGTGTGTTACTGCAGGGTAAACTCTGAGTGGTGGAGGTGAAACAGCAGCAGCACAGCTGGAAATCAAATAAAAGAAGTTTTATAAATCGGACAGTAGGAGAGATCTGCTTTGTGGAGATATTTGCAGGACTATGAACATTGAAGATGTTGATCATGTTGATGATGGAAAAATAGTGGAAAATCTGAAATAATATGTTTTCTTTCGGGACTATTTTGCCTCACAGCACCCTGCTTATTATGTATCCCTCCACCATGAATGGAGTTTAAGGCCAAAATTTTCTCAAAACTATCATAAAACAGTGTCTCAGTCATCAGGCAGTGAATTCATAACAATTTCATGTAGGAACTTTCTGTGAGGGAGCTTTTAGAAGTGGACGTCTGGTTCCCATCACCACCACTGTGAACAGTTCTGACTCTGTAAGTTTCTCTAGAACGAAGCGTTTCACACCAAACCACTCTGAATGTAATATACGGAATATAGTGATAATAAACTGTAGGATGAGCATGAATGAAGTACAAAACTTGACTCAGCTACATATTTAATTCTTGCTTCATGATTGCAGTTTCCTACAGTTAGTCTTCAGTGTTTTTACTGTTTTCTGAACTGTTGCTTTTTAAAGTGTTTCTCCAGTTTCGGTGAGTCTTGCCAAATTCCTTACAGGAATTCACTCGCCATCTTAGTAACACCACCGGGCAGTTATTCCAGCCTTACAAGACCAGGCTCCTCTCTCTGAATGGTGAGAGGCCAAAATCCTCGAAACTGAAGGTCAAGTTACAACCAAGTCAATGATAAAATTTGACAAAAAATCATAAATATTTTGTAGCATTTAGCTAAATAATGCACAATGCATGATTTTTTGGGTGGTTCTGGCTACTGCGCCTGCGCAGATCTCCATAACAACTGGGGCTTTCCCTGCCCTTGCTGTAACCAGCAAGCTGATTGGCTCCTTTTTTCATAAAGGGCGGGACTTTCTCTGTAAACAGCCGTCATGTTGAGCGTTACGAGATTTCCCATTCATATTTCAATGAGCCACCGTCTCCTCCTCCTTTATAACGTCTCTGGTCTAGCTAATACAGCTGATGCACATAAGAATGAAACACAAGTACATGTCTGTCTGTGTCTGATTGTTGGTAAAATTAGCTAAGGTAGCACTAATGTTAGTGAAGTTAATAACTAGATTAACAAAGCTGCCATCTAGCAAACATTAGCAAGTCAGCTAACAATATGAATGTTATTAATAATGAAAATATCAGCGCCGTCGGAAAACCAAACATTGTATCTCCATCCAGCTACTGTTTACACTCTTTCAGTACAATCACAACAGTCAGTTTCATCTGCTTATGAGGGTCTGAATCACAACTGACATTACGAAATGTTTTCCGCACATTGCGTGCAGTTATATATTTCCAAATCCCCAAATCCTACATAGTGTTGCTTTAACAGGTTTCAAGCTTAAAGACTTTGTAATTGAGTTATAATTTTCAGTGATCTACACTTCTGCAGCAAGAAAAAAACTCAAAAACAAGGTCCGTGTCGATGTTTAGGTCTCAAATTATGCTAAAATCAACATTACACTGATGAAGATGTGATGACAGTAGTAGATAATTCACTCACATCCTCAGAGACGCTCCTTCACCAGTTTAGACTGAGTTCTCTCTGATTCTCTTTCAGTCAGCAGATTCATCCACTCGGAGAGGAAGCACAACCTAAGCTACAAAATTGTTCTTATTTCCATCAGAGAGGTCTTCAGATCCCCAAAACATACGTAGTGCAGCTTTAATACTATACTCAAATGAAAGTATTTTTCCCTGTAACTCTGTTATCAGATAAATGGAAATGTTGTCTTTCTGTGTGCGAATGTTGTTGAGCTGCTAGTGAGCAATGAGGGGTAAAGGGGGAGGGGTGAGAACCCCCTGCTGTGAAAAAATATTCACACCTCTATACAAAGATAAAACAAGAGAAAATGAACACCTGCAGCTTTCTTCATATCAAACAATCCTGCATTACTGACACAATAAACAGCATTTACACTCAATAACAGCATTTTTATAGATGTTGTTCCCTCAGCTATGAACCCAAAAGCCAGTTTGCTTCCAGTTTTGTTAACCATACAGATTTCAATTAAAATGTGTCCACTGTTATTGAAGAAGTAAAGGCATAGTTCAGCTGAGGGAGCTTCAAAACAGCGGAAATATATTTTAGCATTTAGCCTTTTATGGCTACTGTGAAAAAGAGAAGTATGAAGTATATGAAGTGTAGTAAAACTAATTGCAGTAATAAAAATGATGTACATTCTGTGTACATGCTGTTCTTTCACTTCAGCATATGAGACTGAGGAAATAAACAAATGACTCCAGATACTAATCCAGGTTTCTTTATTTAAGATAATGGTCTACGAAAGGTTTATCGATGGTGTTGCACAGCCCATCAGCAGGCTACAGTCCATGTCAATGAAAACTGTGTTACTGTGTAAGGCCAGTAGGGGGCGTCCTTTCCTTACACAATAAATAAACAAACCTATAACTTGCATATGTGTTAGAGCACGTTAACACATCTGAGATTCGCTCAGAGGTGTGATGAGTGATGGGCCGCTGCTCGGCTTAAAGCACAGGATGGACGGAACATCTGAAATCAGACCTACGTTTTAAACCTACAAAAGCAATTATACAAGCACAACACAACGCGTGAACATTAGACACATGACGTACGCGGCGTTAATACTGACTAAAGTAAACAAATCCATGCCGAAAGTGCCTTAATTTATTACACCTGTAATGCCTAAAACAGCTCATCTAAAAATGTAATTAGTTAATGAGGCCTAAAACAGCATCTGATACTAAACTCTCTCCAGAGATTGTCTTGTGAAATCAGTACGGCCCAGAATGACTTTACCTAGACCTAAAGTTTAGTTTTTGTTTTTTTTTGTAAAGCATCACTTTAAATAGCAGAATAAGCATCAGTGCACGCAGGGATGTGGGGAGTGGGGGGGCTGAGGGGGCTGCAGCATCCCCAGATATCAGGATTGTGATGACTAAAATAATAATAGTAGTAAATCGTTCTGAACTTCCTAATAATTTGAGTGTAGTTAAGAAATAAATGCTAGGTTTAGAGTTTATATTTGTATATTTTATTTATATATCTATTATATATATTCAAAATCTGGAGTAGCCCTGCATTGTTTAAGTGAAGGCCGTATTTTCATTACCAAAAACTGTCGCGTCGCTAAAACACACGCAGCTCGAGATTTAAAGGAATCTTGAAAACTTATTAGGCCAGTTCTGATACTGCTGTTAGTCCCTAATACTGTTCTTAAACCTAAAAATAATCATCTATCATAATAATGAAGCTTCACATTTTGTGCGTTTCAGTGTTAAATTTCACCTGACTGTGAACATCACATAATCAGCTGCTGCGCCCCATTTCAACAATCTGATTGGTCGCCACTCAGCTCATTTGCATAAAGTTCGTCCAGAACGAGAGAGCAGAGTGATGTGTGTCAGTGGTCGTTTATATGTATATATTGTCACCTCATTATGGCGCTGTGTGACATGTTCTGATGCAAATTAGCAAAAAATAGATATGACGTCATCGTTCACGTCACATATATGCTATTTAAAATTACAGCACCCCAACTTAAAACACCTTCCCGCATCCCTGAGTGCACGTATCTGCCAGACCAGCAGTCTGAATTAACGCCCTCTTAAAGCGACAGTTCAGCAAAAAATCGAATTTTCCCTCACTAACCTCAAATGTCGTCAATCAGCCGAGGCGTGTTTGGCGTCTGAAGTTTGCTTCGTTTAGTTTTAGCACTGGAGCTAAAAGGCTAGTGTAGCCAACATGAGCCTGCTAGAAAAACCAGCATAGACCAGCATGGCTGGTCACCAGCAAAACCAGTATATCATCGCTGTCCAAAGCAAAACTCCAAAATGCAACTTTACAGGAGAGGGCAAAATGTTCATCATTTTTAATGTTGATGTAAAGAGATTTTATTTGAGGCAATTTTGGAGCATTTCTATTGGTCTGTTCATCATGAAATTTTCACACGATGTAAAGGGCATCTGAGCTGAGCTCAAATTATGCAGTAAACTAAAAATTGCAAAAAATGAGATTTTTTGACAGTGACTATATGTTGTATTTTACATGCTGGTATGGTGGTCAACCAGCATGCCTATACTGGTTGACCAGCTAAACCTGCACCAGAGCAGCATATGCGAAGCTCAGAATTACTTCATTTTAACCCCCATGTTCAGGCTACAAATTCAAGAACCAGTGTCTTCATAAAAGCATTAGAATTGTTAAAGTATTCAGTTAGTGTTAATGATATGAGTGATAACTTTAACGTTTATGATGAATTTACCTTCTCGAAACAGACAACTTTATGGACAGTATCACAGATATAACCAACTGTTGCATCGGTGTGTTGATTGATCTAAAGCTAACACTGCTATAATCTCATTTTAAAGTAGAGAAGTGTTAATGCGTGACTGATGCGGCCGGCGCACTGCACAGAAGTGTAAAACTGTATCCACTCATACTGCTTTGTGTCTGTGCTGTTATCCGGTGTCGACCAGAGGAGGATGGGTTCCCCTTTTGAGTCTGGTTGCTCTCGAGGTTTCTTCCTCCTGTTGAGGGGTTGAAAATTCTGAGATACAGACTTTAATCGAATGCATTATTTAAGCTTATACACCGTGATTAGCCTGGCGCTTACTCCAATAGACTTGATTATGTGGTTTCTGGCACTGTATGACTCACTGTTACCTACAAACATGGACTCAAGTACAGACAACATTGGTATCAGAAGTGGGATAGCACCCCTCCCAGTGGTGGGGAAAGCACTGCAAGACTTCACGGAAAAGACGGCCTGGTGAGACTTGACGACAGAGCAAACGAGAAAAAATTCATGTTTCAAGATGTTTGCTACTGTTTTAAGCTATGCTAACCCTGCTAAAAAAAGGACTAACCTGGTGCAGGTTTAGCTGGTCACCTAGTATGGTCATTCTGGTTGACCAGCATACCAGCATCCAAAACACAACATATGTTGGTTCAGCATATGAACATTGCTGCTCGCCGTCAACTGTAATAAAATAAAGTACAAATTCTCTACTTTTAAATAAGAGTGTAGTAGTATTAGCTTTAGCGTGATCAAAAAAGACACAGTACTTGGTTTAATCTGTAAAACTGGCCATAAAGTTTTCTGTTTTGAGAAGGTAAATACTACAGGGACCTGCTACTGGCTGGCTGTTTAAATGTCATTGTTTGGTAGCGTAAAGATGTGTGGTGTGTTATTTGTGGTATATTGTGTCTGGGGGTGTGGGTGTGTTGTGTTGTGGCTGGTGGTAACCTCCCCAGTGATTTATGTGCCTTTTTACGCTGAGGCTACATTGGTGTCAGAAGTGGGACAGCAACCCTCCCAGTGGTCTGGAGTGGCACGACACTTCAAAGAAGAGAGGCAGAGTCCAGTGAAACACCATGATGGTGGGGACAGCACTGCAAAACTCCCCTGGGAAGACTGGTGGAACTTGATGGCAGAGCCGATGCTCTGGGCCGACTGCAGCGTGGACGGCGGGGCTCAAGCGCTCAAGCGGGACTCACACCTGCATTAATGGTGCAGTGGGTGGCGGAGAGAGAGAATGGCAGCTGGGTGTTATTTGTTGTTGCTTGTTAGTGTAGAAATGTGTTGTGTGTTATTTGTTATCACATCTGAGGGTGTGGGTGTTTTGTGTTACTCTGCACTGATGCTACAATACATTATAAATGTTAAAGCTGCAGCACATATCACTGACATTAGCTGGTTAGCTTGTTGCAACGCTTGCTTTCATAAAAAAGTCTTTTTTTTTTGCCACTTTGTAGCTCGAACAACCGGAGGTTGATAATGGTGCAATTCCCATTTGCCATGTGAAAATTCCTACTTCCATAACTCCCATTTCCAGTTAAACCAAACACAACATGAAAAGACAAAATTCAGACACTAAACCGATTGACTGCATTTTCCACGAAGGGGATGAAGTTGTGTAAATGTAATTTTTAGTTGTACTGTCGCTTTAATCCCTCATTTCGTCTGTCCGTCCTGACCCAGCGGAAGGGCGTGTGGTCAGTTTGCTTGCTCGTCTTCATACTGATGGTCAGTGTCCATTTTTTTCACGTCCCCGTTGCTAACGTTCTCTTCTTCTCCGTCCTCCTCCCCCTCTCCCTCCTCCCCCGGTGAATTGGTGGAGCCCCCGCCGCTGGCCGGTGGTGAAAGTGGAGGCAGAGGGATGGCCTCTCCTTTCTTGGCGAGTTCGGCGAGCTCGCGGGCGGAGCAGGTGGGGGTGGGGGTTGGGTACGTTTGGTGGAACGTGTCGTAATCGACCTCATAAAAGCCCTCCTCCAGAGAGAGAACCGGTGTAAAGCGCTCGCCCCACAGAACCTCTGAGTCCAGATACGAACTACGAGCCTGACAGGTCATCCCTACAGAGAGAGAGAGAGACAGAAAGAGAGAGGGAGAGAGACAGAGAGAGAGATAAGAGAGAGAGAGAGAGAGAGAGAGAGATGGAGAGAGAGAGAGAGAGAGAGAAAGAGAGAGAGTAGAGAGAGAGAGATAACAGAGAGAGAGAGAGAGAGAGAGAGAGAGAGAGATAACAGAGAGAGAGAGAGAGAGAGATAACAGAGAGAGAGAGAGAAAGAGAGAGAGTAGAGAGAAAGAGAATAGACAGGGAGAAAACGGAGAGAAAAGATGGGAGAAGAGAACAAGAAAGACAAAAAAACTATTTTAACATACCTTTATTATTATTATTATTATTATTTTTATTCAGATTTTATATTTCTGCTCTTATTTTTGGTAGACGCAAATGTACTGTTTACTGTATACTGGAATATACTGGGGTATACTGGAGCATATTACAGTATACTGGAGTATAATGGAGTATACTAGAATATACTGGGGTATACTGGAGCATATTACAGTATACTGGAGTATAATAGAGTATACTAGAATATACTGGGGTATACTGGAGTATATTACAGTATACTGGAGTATAATAGAGTATACTAGAATATATTGGGGTATACTGAAGCATATTACAGTATACTGGAGTATACTGGAGAATATTGGGGTATACTGGAGTATACTGGAGTATACTGGAGCATATGGAAGTATACTGGAGCATATGGAAGTATACTGGAGCATATTGGAGTATATTGGTATATACTGGAGCATATTGGAGTATACTGGAGCATACTGGAGTATACTGGAGCATACTGTAGTTTTGAGCAGGAGAGACAGTGATAGAGTGAGCTCAGACAGTAACAGCACTCTGCAGGTTTAGTTTGCTCTCGGCTCTTCCGCGCTCTGAACACAGTTAACAGAGTGTGTACAGCTAATAAAGTGTGTATAGCTGATGGAGTGTGTGTAGTGGTTAAAGTGCAGACTCTCAACTTTTCAAGCACTTTCATCTATATCAGCCCCACCATTTACCACTGCTAACACATTACATAACTAACAGATCCATCCTGCAGCGCCGTGAAATCAGACTGGAGTGAACGAGTCATTAACGCCAGAGAGCGTTCCTGTAGTGTATTACAGTCTGTCAGAGTGACTGTGTGGATCATATGAACATTATAGAGCTTTTTAAATGAAACAGTAGAAGCCATATCGCCCCCTACACTTCCTGTAGTGTATTACAGTCTGTCAGAGTGACTGTGTGGATCATATGAACATTATAGAGCTTTTTAAATGAAACAGTAGAAGCCATATCGCCCCCTACACTTCCTGTAGTGGATTACAGTCTGTCAGAGTGACTGTGTGGATCATATGAACATTATAGAGGCTTTTTTTAAATGAAACAGTAGAAGCCATATCGCCCCCTACACTTCCTGTAGTGTATTACAGTCTGTCAGAGTGACTGTGTGGATCATATGAACATTATAGAGGCTTTTTAAATGAAACAGTAGAAGTCATTTCACCTTCAGATGTCCATATTTAATGTTTGTGGGCACTGCATTAGGTTATTGTGAACATACTATTAGAAATGCCACAGAAGCACTAGTGGAAATTAGCAGTATCCAGGAGGTGTTTTTGTGTTTTTTCTCGTGGGTTGTGACCTTTATGGTGCAATAGCTCCAACAGACACGGTTCACCGTTGAGTGCTGAGATATTTAAATATATGTAGGACGAAACGTATCAGCTCTGGAACTATTTGGTTTACCACAGCAGGATTTTCCAAAACGCTGTTCATTCTTCACTCAGACAGAACGGTGATGCACAGAACGCCGGCGTGTTCCTCAGAGGTTGCTGTGTTTTTGTTGCACCGCTGCTGTTCTGGAACGAGGACACTGTAACTCAGCGTAATCTTAATGTGGATAAACTGGACTAATGAGAGCAGACTGAACGAGCGAGAGCCGCTCGCAGCAAAGCGCTGAAAATAACGTCACCTCTCCGCTTTGAGGCCTGTTTGGCCTTAAACAAGTGACTAATGATTTACACATGATGCACACACACACACACACACACACACACACACACACACACACACACAAACACACACACACACACACAGGATGATACACTATAAATAGAAGATGCACATTTTCATGTTCTGCTTAACTTCGCCTGGAAAAACCACATCAGCTCACATTATTTACACAGACACAGCAGATCACACAGCAAACACTCCTCACCTCCCATCACTCTCTCTATCACTCTCTCCATTACTCTCTCTATCACTCTCTCTATCACTCTCTCCATCACTCTCTTTATCACTCTCTCCATCACTCTCTCCATCACTCTCTTTATCACGCTCTCCATCACTCTCTCTATTACTCTTTATCACTCTCTCAATCACTCTCTTTATCACTCTCTCTATCACTCTCTCCATTACTCTTTATCGCCTTCCCTGTCACTCTCTCTCTATCGCTTTCAATCTTTCTCCCTTTCTTCCCTTTTCCTTTTTTTTACTATTGTCTCTCTTTTTCTATTGTCTCTCTACCTCTCTCTCTATCTTTTTCTATTCTCTCCCTCTCTGTCTCTCTCTATCATCTCCACCTTTGTCTGTCTCTCTTTCTATCCTTTCTCTCCACATTTCCCTCTCTCTCTCTCTCTTTTTCTATCATCTCTCTCCACCTTTCTCTCTTTTTATATTGTCTCTCTCTCTCTCTCTCTCTCTGTGTAAATAAAAGGTGAGTAAATATTATGAGTATTCAGCTTTGATCTCAGTTAAAGGGACAGTTCAGTAAAAATCATATTGTGGTTTCTGATATTGTGACTGTAATCATTAAACACTGAAATACATTAGTATTTACACAGTATCAGCATCCTGAAGCCTGAGATCAGAAAGTATATGAGATCATCATCATCATCATCATCATCTCTCTCTCTCTCTCTCTCTTTCTCTCTCTCGACTTCTGTAAGTGATTTAAATGCGTGTTTTTAAAGATGTCCCCTGTTAAACGCCTGGCTGTGTGTAAATCCTCTCCTCCTGTCTGTCCTGTGGTTCAGACTCCACCTGCCTGATAACAGCTGTGAGTGTAAACAGCAGTACAGGCTGCGTCTCCAACCTCAGAGTGAAGTGAAGAAGTTCCACACCTACAATTACAGCATAAACACTTTAGTTGGTCATTTTCTCTCTGAGTGTCTCTGTCAGTGTCACAGCGAGTCGCTGAGGCTTCAAACAGCAGAATCTAAACCACCACCTTCACCAAACTCACCGTCACTGACCCCTCAGTCCACCTCCTTCAACATGCAGAATTAATATAGATATAATAATAATAAGATTAAGAAACCTTTATTTATAGTCAAACTGCATTTAATGCTCTTTGCAGAATGACTGTGTGGATCATATGAACGTTATAGAGCATTACAGGACATCAAGAGCACTATTAAAGAGAAATTCCACCAAAATTTCAAAATTTCTCTATACTTTCAGTGAGTGAGACATAATCAGAGTGATTCAGAGTGGTTTGGTGTGAAATGGTTCAGATGTCTTTACAGTGGTGGTGATAGGAACCAGGGGTCGCCATGACTACAACACAAATATAGACATTTTATTTACTATCCAGAACCACCAGTGAACCTACACGAGTCTTCTGAGTTTATATGAATGTTGATGATGGAAAATAGTGGAAAATCTGAAATAATAAGTTTTCTTTGGGGACTATTTTGCCTCACAGCGCCCTGCATGTATCCCTCCACCATGAATGGAGTTTAAGTTCTCTAAACGATCATAAAACAGTGTCTCAGTCATCAGGCAGTGAATTCATAACCATTTCATGTAGGAACTTTCTGTGAGGGAGCTTTTAGAGGTGGACGTCTGGTTCCTATCACCACCACTGTGAACAGTTCGGTAAGTTTATCTAGAACGTTTCACACCAAACCACTGACCATTTATATATGCAGAAATTTGGAAAACATTGTGGAATCCCCCTTCAATTCTGTAGTATGTTGAAGTCCAGCAGCAGACGAATGAAGAAGAACCCCATCACACGTCTGCCCTCCTACGCAGCTGTTTCAGAGTTTGTGAAAGTACTTAAATCATCCATTTCACTCATTTCGTCCAGCCTGCGGCAAAAACACATGAAAAAGTCTGAAAAAGGCTTTTTTTTCCGCCTATTTACTGATCTTTTTTCTAATTACGGCTTTTGTAGGGCTCCATCTGACGGAAAGTAGGATGACCTTGACTAACAAGGGCGCCGAGAAAGAAAAGAGAAAACTGCGCAGCTACAAAACCAAAATGTGGAAACATTCAATTAACTCCATCAGTGCCTCCCACTCTCAGCTACACATGACTTTGGGGAAGAGAAGGAGAGAGAGAGAGGGAGAGAGGGAGAGAGAGAGAGAGAGAGAGAGACTGGGAGAGGGAGAGAGAGAGAGGGAGAGAGAGAGGGAGAGGGAGAGGGAGAGGGAGAGAGAGTGAGAGAGAGAGAGAGAGAGAGAGAGAGAGAGAGAGAGAGACTGGGAGAGAGAGAGAGAAAGAGAGAGAGAGAGAGAGACTGGGAGAGGGAGAGAGAGAGAGCTCTGCTACTCTGCTTCTGTACATCCACTCTGATACTGTTTTATTTATACTGTTCTACCATTTTAAAGCTGGAGTTGGTGATTTTGTAGAAACCAAGAAGTGATGTTAGCAGTAATGCTAACCAATCAGTGCTCAGTAGCAGTAATGCTAACCAATCAGCGCTTAGTAGCAGTAACGCTAACTAGTCAGTGCTCAGTAGCAGTAATGCTAACCAATCAGTGCTTAGTAGCAGTAACGCTAACTAGCCAGTGCTCAGTAGCAGTAATGCTAACCAATCAGTGCTTAGTAGCAGTAACGCTAACTAGTCAGCGCTCAGTAGCAGTAATGCTAACCAATCAGTGCTTAGTAGCAGTAATGCTAACCAATCAGTGCTCAGTAGCAGCAATGCCAACCAATCAGTGCTCAGTAGCAGTAATGCTAACCAATCAGCACTCAGGGACAGGAGCAGAAAAGGTTTGTGGAAAAATAGCAACCATGGCGTTGCTTTCCAGGCCTTTCAGGTTTCTCCACCATTGGAAAGCTGCACTGATGGTCACTCTGTTTTGACCTCTCGCTTTATCCAACCCCTTTCTGTTAAAGGCCTTTTCTGCTTCTGTCTTTCTTTTTACTGTCTTTAGCAGCGCGAGCTGTTGTACCAGTGTAACTTTCTCTGCTGTTCTTGTGAACCGAGCTCACTGTGTGTGTGTGTGTGTGTGTGTGTGTGTGTGTGTGTGTGTGTAGAGCCGTAGGATGGACTTTGCACACATGCAGATAAGTCCATGTGCAGAGTGTGTGCGTGTGGGCAGGTCGTGAGGCAGGTAGGTAGACAGGCAGGTAGGCCCTGAATCACTTCAGTGGGTCTGAATTAAATGACTGTTTACAGTCCTGTGGCCTCCAAAGGTAATGATTTTTTTCATTGTCAGAGTGTCTGATTTATTGATTGCTATTGGGATGTAATGAGTATTTCAAGAATTAACAAAAAATGATTAATAAATAAAAATAAAATAAAGTAAGTCACTGACGTTAATAACAATGTAATTTAGACTCTATTCAGACTCTGTTCAGACTCTCTCAGTCAGCAGTCTGGATCTGAAGTGCTTATCGGCTCACCGACGCTGAGACCAACTAGTCAGCTATTTAATTTTGCTCTTAAATGACAGATTTTTTCTATATTTGGTGGTATTAAAATTCAGTCGATACTATAAAGGTATTAAATTTGCATAACCATCTCTACAGGACACATCAATAACTCCCTAACTTTTTACTGTTCCCAATTTTTTCCTAGTTTCTTCAATTGCAAATCATTTTCCCATTTCACAGTTTCCAATTATTATCTCACTTTCTCAATTATTTTCTCATTTCTCAGTTATTTCCCCATTTTTCCATTTTTCAATGATTTTTCCATTTTTCTATTTCCTCAATTCCCAATTTGTGTTTTTCAATTTCCCAGTTCATAATTATTTTCTCATTTCCCCATTTTTCCATTTTCAATGATTTTTCCACTTTCCTATTTACTTAATTCCCAATTATTTTCAATTTCCCAGTTTAGAAATATTTTTTCCATTTCCCAAATATTTTCTATTTTACTCAATTTATAACTGTTTTCCCATTTCCTCAATTCCCAATTATCTTCCCATTTCCCAGTTTCCAATTATTTTCCCATATTCGCAATTTCCCAATTTCCAATGATCCCAATTCACAATTATCACAAAAATCACTATTTTCCCATTTTTAAAACACTGATTCAAACCCTTCTGCAGTGTATAAAAATAAGGTTATTATTGTTATTCATGCCCTTAAGGCAGCTGTGCCGACGGGCGCTGGGTTTTTTTGACTGCCCCCCTCAGCCTCTCTGCCAGCTTCACCCGCACGATCTGGCACACAGGACAATACCTGGACCAATTAGCGAGGTATAATTGCAGCCCTTGTCAAGTGTATTCACAGTCGATGTTCATTAGTGATTCCCAGGGAGATTCCGGCACTAATCCCGCTAACGGCGCAGCTAACAGGAGAGCTTAGCTCAGAGTGTCACCTTTTAGATCAGATCCACACATCATTAGCATCCACAGCGAGAAACGTCTCAGTTTCAAAGTGTTGACTCATTCCCGATTGTAAATATTTGAACTGAGCTGCGTAAATGTGAAGTGGAAGATTAAAATTCTAAATGTGTCCTGCTTGAATGCATTAGCTCCTGACTTCTGCCTCCATAACGGTTAAGATGACCACCCCCACGCTCTCTCTCTCTCTCTCTCTCTCTCTCTCTCTCTCTCGTACGCACACAAACACATTTACATTTTACATTTATATTTATTGCATTTGCCAGAGCGACTCAGAGGAGTGCTTTGTTTTCTCCTCATAGAATTTGTTCTGACTGTAGTGCACACAGGCCTTGATCGTGGTGACAGTGAAGCAAGAGTCAGTGAAGCAAGAGTCATATATATATATATATATATATATATATATATATATATATATATATATATATATATATATATATACCTATCAGGCGTAACGTTATGACCACCTCCTTGTTTCTACGCTCATTGTCCATTTTATCAGCTCCACTTACTATATAGGTTCACTTTGTAGTTCTACAGTTACAGACTGTAGTCCATCTGTTTCTCTGATACTTTGTTAGCCCCCTTTTACCCTGTTCTTCAGTGGTCAGGACCCCCATGGACCCTCACAGAGCAGGTACTATTTGGGTGGTGGGTCATTCTCAGCACCGCAGTAACCCTGACGTGGTGGTGTGTTAGTGTGTGTTGTGCTGGTCTGAGTGGATCAGACACAGCAGTGCTGCTGGAGTTTTTAAACACCTCAGTGTCACTGCTGGACTGAGAATAGTCCACCAACCAAAAATATCCAGCCAACAGCGTCCTGTGGGCAGCGTCCTGTGACCACTGATGAAGGACTAGAGGATGACCAACACAAACTGTGCAGCAGCAGATGAGCTATCGTCTCTGACTTCACATCTACAAGGTGGACTGACAAGGTAGGAGTGTCTAATAGAGTGGACAGTGAGTGGACACAGTGTTTAAAACTCCAGCAGCACTGCTGTGTCTGATCCACTCATACCAGCGCAACACATACTAACACATCACCACCACGTCAGTGTTACTGCAGTGCTGAGAATGACCCACCACCCAAATAGTACCTGCTCTGTGAGGGTCCATGGGGGTCCTGACCACTGAAGAACAGGGTAAAAGGGGGCTAACAAAGTATCAGAGAAACAGATGGACTACAGTCTGTAACTGTAGAACTACAAAGTGAACCTATATAGTAAGTGGAGCTGATAAAATGGACAATGAGCGTAGAAACAAGGAGGTGCTCATGATGTTATGCCTGATCGGTGTATATATATATACACTGATATGTGTATATGTATATATATATATATATAGTAATTTGTACTGTAAGGAGATAAAGACTAATTAAGGCCTGGTCTTGAAGAGGACTCAATTTAAGGGTTTTTTATTATTGACCCTGTCTCACTTTCATTTGGACTCAGTCTTGACTTGAACTCAGCCTACTTTAGACTCGGTCCTGACTCGGCCATTACTGGTCATGGTCTTTGATTTGACAAAGGTGGTCTTGACAACAGCCCTAGTGGAAATACTACATGAGATGAAACCAATTCCAAGCTATTTAAGACTTCACAAAAAACACAGCCTCATAGTCTGGGTGCTAATTGTTTAATGCGTTCTTTGATTGTAAGGCATCCTTGAGTACGACGCTGCCTAAATAAAAGTGATGGCGAAGATGATGGGTATGTTTCAAGACCTGCCAACTCTGATAGGAAGAGCTGACATGTAAAACAACCAATCACAGACCATTTGGTGTGAGGTGAATGCAACGAAAACAAACTAAAGTTCAGTACTCATTCGCAAACGCAAACGCGTCTCGTTACTTCTTTAGATATCTTGTTTACTTGCAACCTGTGGCTTCAAACTTCTAAAAAAAATAAAAAGCTTGATAAACAAATGGAAAAACCAGCCTACAAAAGCGTGAACAGGTAGAAGTAGAGTAAATTCTCAGTAAGAGGTGAGATTCTGAGAGCTGTGGAGATTTTAACGTTCAGTTTACATCAGACAGTCTGTGCTTCTGATAATGAAACTCACTGAAATACAACCAAAATTCTTCTGCAGTGAACATCTCACACGTCAAACCACAACATCTGCCCCTCCAGCCGTTATGGAGCCAACAGTACGTGACTGAGGTGCCCTTGAGCAAGGCACCTAACCCCTGCTCCCCGGGTGCTGCGGATAGGGCTGCCTACTGCTCTGGGCAAGTGTGTTCACTGCCCCCTAGTGTGTGTCTTCACTAGTATGTATGTGGATGTCACTGCACAGATGGGTTAGATTGCAGTGGTGAATTTCCCCATTGTAGGACTAATAAGGGTCAATTAATCTAATCTTAGCAAACTACTAACAATATACTTGTCACAGATGTCTGTAACACTCTCATTACTGGCTCACCTGTGGCCTCCACCATCCCCTCCAGAATGACCACTATCTCGAACTCCTCTCTTGCCAGCTGCTCCTGAGAGATCTCCCAGAAGGGGCTACTTTCGTTAAACTCATGGCAGATGATGAGCGGAGACACCAGGAAGAGTCGGTCGTCTCCAGTGTCGAAGCCCACATTGATGTCCGTCTGGTTGAGGGGGATGAACTCTCCTTCTTTGGTCTGTTTGGAGCGGATCAGCTTGGCTCGTATTGACGCTTCCACAATGTGCGAGTTACGCAAGTCTCCTACCCGGAACATCAGGCAAAGCTTGCTGTCCCGCATGGAAATGACGGCGTTCTGCGAGAACATCAGCGTCTCAGCACGTTTCTTGGGCTGTGAGATTTTCACGAACATGCAGCCCACCATGAAGGCATTGACGATGGAGCCCAGGATGGCCTGCACCAAAAGCAGAATGATACCTTCCGGACACTTCTCCGTGATCACGCGGTAGCCGTAGCCAATGGTCGTCTCCGTCTCAATGGAGAAGAGGAAAGCCGAGACGAAACCATTTAGGTTGTTGACGCATGGCGTCCAGTCTCCATCATCTGTGTGGTCGAGGTCACCTCTGGCATAAGCGATCAACCACCAGATGAAGCCGAAGAAAACCCACGTGGTGGTGTAGACCAGTGTGAACACCAGCAGGTTGAAGCGCCACTTCAGGTCCACCAGTGTGGTGAAGATGTCCGTCAGGTAGCGGTAGGTTTCCCGAACGTTGCCATGGTGAACGTTACACTTGCCGTCCTTCTCCACGTAGCGCTGCCGGCGCTTCTTCAGTTGACCTCCTGGACCATCTGAGGAATCTCCACCTCCAGCCAGGCCTCCCACCACCATGGTCCGGTCTGTGGGGATCTGAGGTGATAGGTGGTTGGGTAAAGTTTAGGGACAATAAGGGAACGAAGTATGAAAGGGATGAGATGGAATAAAGAGTAAAAAGGAGAAGATCAAGAAGTTAAAATCTAAAACGCAAGGGTGTGAAATCCAACACAGGTCAATAGCCTCCTTGTTTGTTCCGAGACCTCCTCCTGACTGTGATTGGTCCTAATCACTGCCTCATTTGTTCTGAGACCTCCCCCTAACTCTGATTGGTCCTAATTGCCACGTTGTTTGTTCCGAGACCTCCCCCTGACTGTGATTGGTTCTAATGACCACACTGTTTGTTCTGAGACCTCCCCCTGACTGTCATTGGTCCTCATCACTGTCTCGCTTGTTTTTAGACCTCCCCAGGACTGTGATTGGTCCTAATAACCACCTTGTTTGTTCTGACACCTGTCCCTGACTGTGACTGGTCCCAATAACCATGTTGTTTGTTCTGAGACCTCCCACTGACTTTGATTGGTCCTAATGGCCATCTCGTTTGCTCTGAGACCTCCTCATGACCGCATTTTACATGCTTGCCTGTCATTTGAAGAACACTGCCAGTTTAAGTTTCACTTTAGATTAAATTCTTATCTTGTGGTTCCTTTTTAGCCACACTGACAAAAAAGAACCCCCAGCAATTCTAAAGATTGAAGCACTTCAACAATAACGTGCAATATGTGCAATGTTAGGAAGCAAAAGCCTTTAGTGATGGGATGTCAGTCAACTGGATAAGATATGGCTACAATCATCTGTAGTGGTTCCACAGTCCTGGACGGCCACAGTCCAACACAGTTTGGTGAATTTCTGCTGGCGACTTACTGCAGGTGTGTTTGAGGAGGAATATCACCAAACTGTGCTGAATAAGACCCTCCAGGACCAGAGCTGGACACCGCTGCTATAGAACGAAGGGGTAAAAGCAGTACAGAAAACATGAATGTTAAGTACTGGTGCTGAGCTGGCAAGCTGCCTGATGCTTGTCAATCTGTCACTGTCCAATGAACCTGAGATGCTGCCAACATGCCACTTTGTCAAATGAACCCGTCAACCTTCAGGAAAGTTAAACACTGACCTTGGCTTCTGCATAGATTCAGTCAGACTCCTTATCCTGTACAGCATCAACAGTGGTGTTTGATGCTAGCTGCTAAAGTGCTAAAAAGGGCTTTGAGGCTCACCTTGTCGTTGGGATCGTTCCATTTCTTTGGCAGCTTGATGCCCTGTTTCTCCACATCCTGTCCAAGCTGGCCCTTTACACTGCTCATGACCTGCAGGGCTGAAGCCACAGACGCTGTCTTCCGGTCCAGCAGGGGGAGCTCTCAAACTGCAAATACAGAAGAACAAGAAATCTGAGAAAAGAAATCAGTTGACCACAAACTGTTTGATAGATATGGACGTCAATTCCTGCAGTCCTGGTTAACAGTCTTAATCAACAGCTCGGTAGTGAGCTATTTAGACCTTTTTACGTTGTGGCCACAATGCGCTCTTTTCAAATTTCCATATTTTTTCTGCTGGAAGTTCTCGTTGCAGGGTAGCGCTGCTTCCGCTACAGCAATGACAATAACGGTAATGGCAAGTTGAGCATGTACAGCTCTCTCCAGTGTTTGAGCTTGAAGCGAAAACAGCCTCATCTCAGTTTCACTGGTTCGTCAGCTGATGATGAGCAGAGGAGAATTGAGTTTGTACAGTAAATAAAGGAATAAACTTCATCATACGGAGTAAAAGAACCTCTGTGTCTGTGTTTCGGCGCTGCTCACTAACGTTGACGTGCAGTTTGTGCTGTAAAGTTGCTGCTTCAGCCGCTTTCAGAGGAACAGTTTTCATTTTCTCCCTCTAAAGCTGTCGGTGTCTGAGAGAGCGAGAGCTCAGCGGGAGCAGATGTTCATTCAGTGTTTAAAACGTCTACAGTGGCGCTACAGACCCTGACGACCCGGCGCCCCCTGCTGGCGTGTGTGTATGTTTAGCTTTGTGCTAACTAGTTTATTGTTAGCGAGCTGTTTCAGCATCTCCAGCTAACATGGCTAATCCAGCTTTTTGGTTATAGTTATTTTCTCCTCCACTGATTTATCTCTCTGTAGACGTAGCTGACGTTACTGTGCTCTGATAGCTGTGAAGGAATTTCTCCACGAAGCATTTATATCCTTTATTTAGTCTCCACATTGTTGTGTGTTTGGTTCTCCGACAGTTCTGGACTCATCCTCGAATTTCAATCTTGGCAACTGTGACAAAGATAAAGTGACTCATCTTTCTGTGGTGCTGAAGTGATACGAACGACTGTATGTCTGAGGTCAGTAACTGTCCGAAAGGCAAAAGCGGAACTTGTTTTACCAGCGTTTACACACTTCCGTTTCTTGTTTGTACCTTGATGAATGAAAAATGTACCTGAACAGAACCTTTATTTTTAACAGTGTATCTGCTTTAGTCCTGGATTCATGGTGGCTGAAGTTCTGAGCTCTGAGCTACTTGGCTGTATCTGAGCAGGTAAGATGCTTCTGTTCTCTTCAGAACTCGTCCTGCTGCCACCATCCCATCATCACTAACAGAGTCGAGGGATCCAGGTTCCCTGCAGTCAGACTTGCCCGACACTGCCATGTTTCATAGATGAGCAGGTTTGCAATATTCATCCTGTCTGTCAAACACTTTTGTCCCACAACTCTGACCTTTCTCTTCTGGTGGATTTCCAGCGGTTTGCATCATGCTGTAAACCCTCTGAGGTCACACTGCTGAGCTCCTCTTTGTAGTCGTCTTCCACACATCTGCGTCTAAGTCCTGGACAGCGTTCTTGATCTGTTCAGCAGCTTTTCATCATTGCTGAAAGTTTTCTTCAGCTGTTCTTCTGTGACCAGACTGTCGGCTACTGCTCACCAGTACTTTCTTGCTTCATTTCATTGTGACATATTTTGACTTGTCCAGCCTGATGTTTAGTCTGGATTCAGTCTGATTTCTCAGACTCATGACGGCCCGATTTAAGGGTGCCATAGAACACATTTATTCAGAATTTAAACTGTTCCCTGTGTCTCCGTACACTTAGAAATAAAGGTTCTGTTCAGGTACATTTTTCGCTCATCAAGGTACAAACAGTGTAAATGTTCCCTCAAAGGTTCTACAGTGGTTTTAAGGTCTGATTGTGAACCTTAAATAAGTTTTTCCAGGTGAAAAGTTCGTATTTGTACCGTTTCATAACCGAATGTTTTAAACAGAACAGTAAAATAAAAGCCTGGAGACGAGACGGGGTGTGTGGAGTCAGTACAGCTTAGAACATATCATTTCAGTGGATTATGGTTCAGTTATGTTCCCTGACTAAAGGTACTGAGATGGACCCTTGAGGGTTCCACCCCAGTGACAAGAGGGGCACTGACCCAGAGACAGTTTAGTACCTTTATATCTGAGAGTGTAGAAGATATGTGACTTTGGTTGGAGTGAAAAATGCCCAGATGTGTTTTTTCACTCCCATTTACAGCCCTGTGATTTGGCACTAGAATGAAATGAGCTGTTTTCACACTTTCAGGGGACTTATGAATAATCTGAGGAGCTAAAGGGCCAATAATTCTGCTTATTTTAAGAAATACACTTGAAACTAAATTATAGGCCAATATGCAGTGGTGGACAAAGTACACAAACCATGTACTTGAGTTAAAGTAGAGATACCCAAGGTCAAAATATTACTGCAGTAAAAGTAGAAGTTCCTCCCTTTAGACCTCCACTTGAGTAAAAGTACTAAAAGTATTTGCCTTCAAATGTACTTAAGTATCGAAAGTAAAAGTACTAACAGATTAATTATGACTCTGATGTCCTATTATCATTTATGTAACAAGACTCGCTTCATTAACTCATTTTAGGTGAAAATACTCCAGTGTCTCTCTTGGTAAGACAGTCTTTTAATAGAGTCATTAATTAGTGACGCTGATGTCTATTAAAATTATCATAAACACAAAACACTGAAGGAAACAGTTTCCATCAGGTAGAACTGAGTGGCTCTGAAATCACTTTTTACAAACAAGCAAAGTTTCAGCTCAAGATTTATTTACAACTTAGTTTAAAAATTAGTTTAAATTTAAACAAGTTTAATAAAGACTTTAAACTCAGATTCACAAATGAGTTTCCTTTACTAAACTGCATCTGTAGGTCTCTGTTCATAAACACAAACTAGACAAAACTAATTTACTATAAAATGAAATGTGTTTGTATAAATTCAGAATAAAGACACGTCAGTCACAACTGCATATGAGTACATGTTTCTATATTGTGGTCTATTTACACAAAGTTAGGTTAGTTCATCATTTATGTTGAATAGACTCTCCCAAAATTTTACGCTGCTGCTCTGATGTTGAACCGTGTGCTGCACTGGGTCGGTATGACCAACAGGTCAAAACAAGCTCTAAACAAAGTGACCGCTGTGCCCTGATTGGTGTTCTTGCTTCGCGCTTCTTTCGTTTTGACATGTTATGTTTTTATACACACATAAACCAAAAGGAACGACAGATTTCTCATAATGTAGTGGAGTAAAAAGTGAGATATTTGACTCTGAAATGTAGTGGAGTGAAAGTAAAAAGTCACTCAAAATGGAAAAACTTCAGTAAAGTACAGATACACAAAAAACTACTTAAATACAGTAACTAATTACATTTACTTTGAGATATGATTTTTTGCAGTGAAGAACTCTTGAATTGGTATTGATCAAAGTGCACAACTCCGGTCCTGAAGGCTGGTTTCCAGCACAGTTTGGTGATTTACCTGTTCAAACACACCTGAATACACTCACCTGTTAACAGGTTTAGTGGGTGTGTATGTGTAGGAGAACCACTGAACTGTGCTAGACTCCAGCACTCCAGGACTGGAATTGTGCACCCCGTATTATAAACACTTAAAAAAGGTGGTTCTTCAGGGGTTCTTTAGTAAAGAAAATGGACCAAGAACACTCAAAGAACCATTTGCATGCTTTGCGTCGTGAAAAGGTTCTTCATTTTGATATAGAATCTGCTGTGTATGGTTCTTTATATATCTTCATAGCACCAAAAAGGGTTCTTCTGTTGAAACAAGCTTGACATCATAACAATAAAAGAAGCTTTTTGGTGCTATATAGCACATTTTTCAAAAAGGTTCTACATAGAAACTTCTACAGCACATTCTTCATCAATCTGAAGAATGCTGTTGCAATGCAAAGAACCCTTTAATCATGCAAAGGGTTCTTGGGCTCAGGGTTCTATTTAGGACAATTTTCTTTACTAAAGAACCTTTGAAGAACCATCTTTTTGAAGAGTGTAGATCCTTTCTATTATGTAAAGTTTCCTCCAACTTTTAGAAGGTCCTTCATGCTATAAATGGCACCTTTTTTAAGTTTAGAAGAACCTCCAGACCTTTTTTGAATTCTCATGACCTTCTGAAGTAAACGAACACAGCTGATGAGAAACAGCTGACCAGCCAAATGTCCAGTTACTGACATTCCCCTAAAATGAGGGACTCTGTCTGAACAGGACAGTGATTCCTATATAGTTCAGAACCTCTGACCTTGAGTGTCCCCGTATTGGAGTAAAGAATCCAGAACCATCTTAGCTCTGAAATCTGTTTGGTCTCCATAACAACTTAAGTACAACGCTGCTTTCACTGTGAGATGATTTTCTTTTCTAACTCTGCGTTTTAAAGATCTCAGACGCTGCAGACTCGATCTCCACCGCCCCTCTGATCACCTTCGTGTGTTAATGTTGATGATGAAATATTACAGTGATGGTGGTGAATAATGAGGAGACGGAGCTGAACGTGTGTCTGTTTATTAGGAGGAGTAACGTTAGCGCGCTCGGCTAAAGCATCTTTCTCGTGACTCTGAAAACTTCCTTTCCCCAGGCCACGTCTCGTCAACATAAAAGACAAGGTCTGGGACTAGAATGACTAAACAGTCCAACTGTGCTTATAATGACACTGTGTGGAATCAGAGGAGGTATTAATCACAACAGTCAATCTTCAGCCTCCCTGCTGCATTTCTGTAGTTTTTCCTCTGCATCAAGAATCAGGAAGACCATCAAAAAGAAACAAACAGGTTTCTTGTACATTGTATTCTATAATGTTCATATGATCCACACAGTCACTCTGACAGACTGTAATACACTACAGGAAGTGTAGGGGGCGATATGGCTTCTACTGTTTCATTTAAAAAGCCTCCATAATATTCATATGATCCACACAGTCACTCTGACAGACTGTAATACACTACAGGAAGTGTAGGGGGCGATATGGCTTCTACTGTTTCATTTAAAAAGCTCTATAATGTTCATATGATCCACACAGTCACTCTGACAGACTGTAATACACTACAGGAAGCGTAGGGGG